GTGTGATGTGTGTGTGTGATGTGTGATGTGTGATGTGTGTGTGTGATGTGTGATGTGTGATGTGTTGTGTGATGGTGATGTGTGATGTGTGATGTGTGATGTGTGATGTGTGATGTGTGTGTGGTGTGTGTGTGTGTGTGTGTGTTGTGGTTTGTGTGTGTGTGTGTGTGTGTGTGTGTGTGTGATGTGATGTGTGATGTGTGTGTGTGTGTGTGTGATGTGTGTGTTGTGTGTGTGTGTGGTGTGTGTGTGTGTGTGTGTGTGTGTGTGTGTGTGTGTGTGTGTGTGTGTTGTGTGTGTGTGTGGTGTTGTGTGTGTGTGTGTGTGTGTGTGTGTGTGTGTGTGTGTGTGTGTGTGTGTGTGTGTGTGTGTGTGTGTGTGGTGTGTGTGTGTGTGTGTGTGTGGTGTGGTGTGTGTGTGTGTGTGTGTGTGTGTGTGTGTGTGTGTGTGTGTGTGTGTGGTGTGTGTGTGTGTGTGGTGTTGTGTGTGTGTGTGTGTGAGTGTGTGTGTGTGTGATGTGTGTGTGTGTGTTGTGTGTGTGTGTGTGTGTGTGTGTGTGTGATGTGTGTGTGGTGTGTGTGTGTGTGGTGTGTGTGTGAGTGTGTGTGTGTGATGTGTGTGTGTGTGTGTGTGTGTGTTGTGTGTGTGTAGTGTGTGTGTGTAGTGTGTGTGTAGTGTGGTGTAGTGTTGTGTGTGTGTGTGTGTGTGTGTGTAGTGTGTGTGGGTGTGTGTGTGTGTGTGTGGTGTGTGTAGTGTGTGTTGTGTGTGTGTGTGTGGTGTTATGTGTATGTGTTTAGTGTGTGTGTGTGTGTGTGTAGTGTGGTAGTGTGTGTGTGTAGTGTGTGTGTGTGTAGTGGTGTGTGTGTGTGTAGTGTGTGTGTGTGTGTGTGTGTGTGGTGTGTGTTGTGTGGTGTGTGTGTGTGTGTGTGTGTGTGTGTGTGTGTTTTGTGTGAAGTGTGTGTGTGTGGTGTGTGTGTGTGTGTGTGTGTGTGTGTGTGTGTGTGTGTGTTGTGTGTGTGTGTGTGGGTGTGTGGGTGGGTGGGTGGGTGGGTGGGTGTGTGGGTGTGTGGGTGTGTGTGTGTGTGTCTGCGTGTATGTGTGTGTGTGTGTGGGTGGGTGTGTGTGTGTGTGTGTGTGTGTGTGTGTGTGGGTGGGTGGGTGGGTGCGTGCGTGCGTGTGTGGGTGGGTGCGTGCGTGCGCGCGTGTGCGTGCGGGTGCGCGCGCGCCTACGTGGGTGCGTGGGTGTGTCTCATGTGCGCCCTTGCCACTGACAAAAAAAGGGTTTGCGGCAGCTGTAGATGGGCTTTCTATACTTTTGCAGAGTTCAACATCAGGCACATCAATCTGTTAATCTCTGGAAGATCAGGATTGACGGTTGATGTTTAGCTAGCCTCGAGAATTCTTCCTTTTTGCGCAAAAAAGGTCGAGCACACATTGGAGATCTGTCCCTTTCACAGAAGGCATGAAGTTGGCTTTGTCTTACAGAACATCACCACATTGAGCTCAGCACACCGGGGGTACTGTGCCATCTCTCGGTTTGTAGCAGATGCACGTGGAAGACTGCAGTCTACAGCGCCTCACATATCTTACCTCTAAATTCAGGGAGCCTTCGAAGCCAAAGCAAGTTTCAAAAGGAGTCGGCCGCATGCTAAGCTCACAGCATGGCGGCCTCGACAGCGAGTCTCAAGGCAAAGGGCTCAAGGGTTAAAGGCCCCATAAGGCCCCTCAACCCTCAACCCTAATGCTCTAGAAATCTACTACTCATTCCAAGCGTGTGAAGCAAGCGCCATGTCTGCAAGCAAGGAAGGCCAGATAATCGCAGGCCAGCAAGGGCACCAGCGATCCAAACAGTTGTGCAGGGAGGACCAGGGAGATGCAGAGTGTCAAAGGCCACAAGGGGCAGGAGATCAACTGTTTCTGCCACACTGTGGCCATGCCCCGCAGTGTGCTATCGCCGATTACTCCCTCAGCAGGGCGTGGAAACTCCAGTAGGTCGCCTAAACGCTGCCTATACTGGTCTCTGGCCTGGGTGTGTTGAAGGCTTAAATGGCTCGAAGTGCATAGCCGCTTCCCTTGGTTCGTCTCCTTCGGAGCTTCACCACACACGTTGTTTGTCAGTTTAAGTCGCCTGCGCCCACAAGGTGACAAAGGCGTCCACTATGCCGCGTCTGTGAACTCTAATTCTTGCTGGCGTGTGTGCACTCTGTTTTGCTTGCATATTGCACATCGTTGGTCACTGTGCAGGTGCACATCGTTGCACAGCGTCTGCCATTAGCTGCTCGGGCAAGTCATGGAACCTCTTAAACCCATGTGAACCCACCCGAACCCACCGAAGATGCGAGCAAATCGAGTTCAACTAGAAAAACCCAGGGAAGCTTGAGGGTTTCGTAGGGTTTCGAGCAGGTTGCGCAGTAGCTTTGGAGGCTGAGCGCATCCTGCCTGTGCCGAGTCGGGCGCAACCGCAAACAGGAAGGCTCAATCATCTACATGCACACTGTGTGCAGTTCATCCTACGCGGATACCCTGCCCCCTCGTCTAAGCTTGAGTCAGCAAGAGGAGGGCAGGACTATCGTAGGGTTGACTTAACCAAGCTACTAGGTCTGCTATGCGGCTTTAGCCGGATTGGTGCCAAACCACTCAAGGTAGGACATCGTTCTCTCCCTTGCGTAGCAAGTTGACTTCTAGCTTATGCCACCATTGGTGACAGGAGGTTATGTTCTCTGAGCATGATCAGCCGCAAGCGTCATGACATCATGACATGTCATGGCCCTTCGGTCACTGCGTGTCAACCAACAATGTAGCACGGCAAAAGTCAGCTGCACTCCAACGGGTCCCTATCCCAGAAAAGGCTGCTTGATCTCTGTGGCAAGCTGCTTCTTGACTGCCTGATGCTGTGACTGACACTGTCCATGAGCCTCAAACAACTCGTACCCAGGTGCCCCAGGAGAGATCTCTTGACTGTTGACATCTTGGTTTTCTACTTTATAGACAAACAAACGGAGTACCACGGTCCCTACACGCTCAACCTGGGCACAGTGAGGCTCAGGGTTTCTGGTCCCAAGTGTCCACTCTCAAGCTTGGGCTCCAGCATCAGTAGGGTTTCTGCTTCAGATCAGTCGACTGTTGGTGGGTGGGATTCCGGATGAGGAGTTCCTACCTGTGCAACTCGCTCTGCAACCGCCATGAGCCCTGATTTGCAACCGGGCTCGTGGATTTCAAATCCCCAACAGTCAGGAAAAACACCGAGAACTGCTTGGAACCCGAGAAAGGACCAGTCAGCATGCTTTTGAGATTGTTGGGTGGGTCAACGTCTACCGGTTCTTCTGTAGCCATGTGTGTTTGCTATCCGGGTGCGGAACGCTTATGGTCAACAAACAAAGCTCGCTGGCAGGATTTCGAAAACTAAGCTCTGGCTGGGGTTTGAGATGATCGCCCTAACAGTGCGGACCATTGTTTTCTCCGAATCCCATGGCGCGACGAGCATCAAGACGTTGGCCGCTCGCACGAAGCCAGCAAAGCCCTCTGGTGCACCCATTTAATCGTTTCCCCCTAATATTAAACGGGGGGTCCCTAAACCCTAAACCCTAAACCCCCCCCCCCCCCCCAATAGAAATTCGAAATGTGTTTTTATTATTAGGGCGGGGTTTTTATCGAAATGCCATGTTCTAGACTCCAGATTTACTAAAGTAATCAAGTACTGAAGTGTGGGGTAACCTGAAAGAAAGAGACAGAAGAGAGAGAGAGAGAGAGAGAGAGAGAGAGAGAGAGAGAGAGAGACAGAGCTCAACTCTTGCAGAACAGCAAGGCTCAGACCCCCCAACCCTAAACCCTCTCAGGGTTTTATTGGTGTTGAAGGATTTCTTGGAGGCCTGAACCCCCCCCCCCCTAATTCGGAATAGGGTTTAAAAGGCGGGCTCGGTTTCGGGAGGTTTTTCCGGAAAGTATTTTTAGTATTAGGGGGGTCTTTAATAAAAAGGGGGAAGCGATTACAGCCTTAGAGCTACGCTCTGCTACATAGCTTGCCACCTATTTAGAACATCAACACGTTCCCCACTACTTCACACTACCGACAACATGTGTGCCTCTTGCTGAAAGGTCTGGCCCCGTGTCGCTGACCGGTGAGATGAGTTCGTAAAGTTGTGAGGAAAGGGGGACGCCTGACGAGCTGAGCTTAGGGTTTGGTGTACAAGGCTTGGTTTAATCTGTTGTCGCTGTTCGTGGCTCGGGGCCCCTCCTCTTAACAACCTTATATGCTTTGTTTGTGCTACTTGCCAAGCAGCTGTGAGACGCGGCAAGGCTCACTTTCTGAGTCTTTTGGGAAGGATGCGAGAAGGCTTGTTCATTTTTGTGGATGATTCTTATCTTCATCCCAGACTCACACAGGTTGCTCAGACGAATTAGAAACCCATCAGCTAAAGCCGGTCTCAGACACCAGGCATGGGTGGCGGACCTCGTGACGACGTGGTTCGGGCTGTGGGAACACAGTCTACAAGGCTACGGTTGCGCTTTTTTTGGCCTAGTCACCTGCCACGCTCTACTGGTACAACGTAGGGTTTCAGGGTCCAGCAAGGTTGGAGTTTCATGCGTTTTTTCAACATGGTTCAATCTGAGTCTCAAAAAGCACATCATCCTCGCCATCTGACAAAAGGCTCTTTGAACCCAGGTCTTCGAATAACAAAGGAAAGAGTGTGTGAGGACGTCGTTGGAGGTCCTGAACCCCCATAACAGTTGAAGCTTCAAGCTGTGTACAGGGCTTTAGCCAACCAAGTCTTATCATTGCCGCGCTCTGTGATGAACCCTCGGTACTCTTTCAGACGCAGAGATCATTCGTCCGTGAGACGCGAACGCAGCCTTAACCTTCCATCAAACTGCCAGCAGCACGTGTAATTACAACTCGCCAGCCACCACAAGAATTTTGCGTAACACAAACGCTGCAGTTTTTCTGCAGAGGACCAAGAAACTTTTTCAATCTCCACCGACAGCAGATGAAAGGGCCGGAGCTACGCTATGCGCTGCTTCTTTGCGCCCTCACCATACTTGGAGTAGTCCACGCAGCGGCAGTTCTTCATGCCGCACTTCCTGAGATCTGCTGCCGTCGTTCTGAAATTACAGCTTCAAGCACTGAACCTAAGGAACATCACAGTCAACCCCCCTGGGCTAAGTGTTGCAGCAGCACATCCCAACAAACCCCAGGACGCAAGAGAGGAGGTCAACCACAGACATGTTCAGGTATGACAGCTTCACATGTCGATGCAGGAGTGCTTCGAAAAGCAAGAAGTCAGTGTTCCCAGAGGCAGTGGCCAGTGACGGTGCGAGCACTTTCCATGCACAGGTGCATCAATCCTTCAACTGCTATCCTTCAAGCTCATTAGCTTGTCTCAATCTTGCCATTCCTCCATCATTCGACGTTTTGAACGACAAGTCAGGTAAGTCAGGTTAGTTACGGGCAGTTCTTGAGCTGAAGCCATGATCTGAGGTTGCGTGGGTGTAGGTCCTCAGGTCCTCCCTCGCTGAGAAGGGTGTGTGATTTACACTTTCAGGTGTCTGAACCTCGAACCCTAAACCCTGACAACATCAATGGCCCAATGCAGCCACAGGTCCGGCAGAACTCTCCCTTCATGGCCAGCATCATCCTCGGGGCGCTCCACTGGAAGCAAAGGGCTCCGTGACTCGGTGGCTCAGTGCTTCAACGCATGTTCTGGCCAACTGGCCGGGCCATGGGCCTCCTTTGAGAGCTTGAGAAGAATATGTCTTTTTTAGGACCTCTAACCCTGAACCAAGTCCCAACCTGCATCTGGATCCCTTCAGCAAAGTCAGGCATGGCAGGGTGCTCACGTCGTCTCGGAACTCACAATAAACATGGATGGAGATGTTTTCAGGGCCTGTAGCTGTAGGGGACTTAGGTATGTTGCAGCGGCAGCGTCCTCTTGTCACCCTCGGATTGCTCTTCGGAGTAGTCCAAGATCCTAGGGTGCACAAAGGTTAGCCGACACCATGGCTGCAAAATGGAGACTTAGGGGGTTTCGCTCGTGTTGAGTACGGAAAATGAGGGTTTGGCATATTCAAACATCTCTCTCTCTCACACACACACCCCTCTTACACTGTACGTGATGTCGTCGTCCTAAAGACATCCCCATGCCCCCTTTCGGACCATGCATGGCCTGTGCTTGTTAGCCACTGCAGCCACGGCACTTTTGGGGCTGTGTTCTCGAATATGCGCCGTCCACCTTGGCTATGCTCGTACAATCGTAGGCTTCTGGACGCGACATGGAGTTCCGACCTGCGACAGAAGCAGCTGAGAAGGTCCTTTCAGACAGGGCAGAAACACATACCTGAACATACCCTCTACGGTGATACTTTATTGTTTGGACTGGGACACTTTAAAACACAAAAAAGATCTAGATGTGGTTTCCTGCGTGGACTTGGTTTCTAAACAATATTATGAATGTCTTGAATGTTTTACAATTTGTAAACTGAAAGAAGCACGAGAAGCTGGAGATGGTAAATTTCAATGCTTTAAGTTGTATAACTTCTGCTTCTCATGCTTTTCATCCCAATCTCTCTTGTGAATGCTTCCCCCCCCAACTACAACCACACAGCGAGGCATCGACCAGCGTGCTCTTCGCAGTGTCCGCAGAGATCTTGTCCTCCGGGGTGGATCAAAAAGTAGATTCAGTAAACGCGCCACCCTCCAGGTGACCCAACTCAACCAAAGGACCATATGCAAAGTTCTCATCGTGAAAGCTCGATCAACGCAGCCTAAAGTAGAGTCAGATTGAAACCTCGGGAAGACTTTACATGCTCCCGCAATACGATTGCTAGGACCACAACCTCTACAGTAAGCATGCTAGAGAACCAAAGAGCCCCCACATGCGAAAGCCACCCTGTCCTGATATTCCAAGAGGGCCTTCTGTGAGTCCGTGTCTGTGACGCGCGTGTTGTTCAAGTGCAACTGCTGGGCGCCGGCCTGCAAAATATTCCAAAAGCTCCAGATGACCATCGTTTGGGTTCTGGGGGGCTCTTTGGATTTGGGGTGCCCGGGTCTTTGTGATGGTGGATTTGCGAGGCTTAAGGGGTGTGGGTTCGAAAGGTTCGTCTCCCACTGTTTGCACAGGATAGCCAGGGCTTCAGATATCAAAGCTGCGGAGGACGTTTGAACACACTTTGCCGAACTGGGGGATGGAGCGAAGATGAGCCCGTTCAGCTCAACTTGCGAAACAATGAGCTGGAGCATCTATTAACTTATTAACGAACCCCTCCCAGGGCCCCTCAATCCTTGATGGCCAAGGCCGCGAAGTCACCAAACTTCTGGTCCGGCATCTTCGTTCCGGCTTCCTGCGCTGCTCCGCAAGGGTCGGCTTGGGAGAGTTGGGGAGCCTGGTTTCAACATTCGACTGCGTGGTCGCGGGACCTCAGGACCTCTACAAGCAAAACGCAGCTCAACCTGGAAATCCCGTGGACGTGCAAAGAGCATGTTTCACGTGAAACAATTGCGAAAGAAAAGCTCTCATCAGCTGAAGGCGTCCTCAGGTCGCGTGGGCGTCATGTTTTTCTGAGCTGCTCGAGCTTCGCCGCGCCGGATTTTGAACCTTCCGCAATGCACTCCCCTCAAGTCTCGCAATGCACTTCCCTAAAGTGTCACAACAGTGGTGCGGCAACCCTGGAACAAGTTCCTGAACTGGTGCCCCTGTGCTCAGAAAATATTTTTGGAGAGATACATGGTTGATTTGCCTCTTCAATGCAGCCAAGTTTCATGTCACCATGACCTGCTGATGCTCAAGGTTCTGCGTACTTCTGTAAATGTAGTCTCCCTCTCTCTCTGCCGCTGCATCCAGAGGGTCCAGCAGCGCCAGGCAACGCATGAGGTGAATACAATCAAACCAGGAGTTATAAGTTCATCTTCAACGAATCACTGGCCAACTTCTCCAATACACGTGCTGATGATTGTGGTTCTGAACATGCAAACTCTTTTCGCGAAAAGATTCTTCGTTGCTTTCTGATACTACTGGTAATGGTTTCTTGCCAGACAAAGATATGTCCCCAGCGTCACAAACTCAGCTCTGCCCAGCCTGTTGAATAGAAGCGCTTCATCTCGGCTGGATCCTCGGTCAACGAAGTTGACCCAAGTGGGTTGGGCACGGACGGTGGCTTCGCGATCTATAGCCTATGGCTTCCTCGAAGCCGAACTCATTGCCCCCCACGGGCGCACCACGCTGCTCGGGCTACTTAGCTTGCGGCCGTCATGTTGAAAATGGGGCCCGTCCCGCCTGAGTCAATGGGACTTCATCAGAAGCAGGTATGGCTTTGAAATAGAGCTAGAACTCCTGCTAGCACGGCTTTTGTAGCTACCAGTAGATGAGATTTTGCAGCTAGGCGCAATTCTTGTCATAATTTGTGCGTAGTTTGACCACGGCTTGTGCACGGCCATGGTGCTTGGTGCACTTTTTGCGATTGGAGTGGGTGGGCGACTGGGGAATGCGTCTGTCCATGATGCGAACAGGCCGTTCTGGCTTCAATCTATACATGTGTGAGTCTGGGTGTGAGGTTGTTGGGGTTGTTGGTTCGGCTCTGTCCCCTCACCCCACACCTCGCCCGAAACTGATACTACTGGACCGAGTCGACCTGGTATCAGGGCAGCCAAGGGGCCATCTTCTTCAATGCTGCTGTAGACTGACTTTGTCTTCGCCTCCGAGCAGGTGCTTTGAACTTCAACCCATTGATGGCAAGTAAGAAGAAATCAGATGGTGATAGCCGCAGCAACAAATCTGATGAGATTCATCATGCCATAGTATCCCAAAGCCTAGTTACAGATAATGTTTAAATGCGAAGGCTGATACGCAATCTAGTTTGACAATAGCACTTATAACGGTAAAGCTCATGATAAAATATGAACTACTTTGTTCCAAGGCTTAGCTTAGGTCAACTTAGACACGCCGCGTTTGTCGCAATAGGCCGACAGATACATCTGCCGGCCTGGCTCACGAGAGCTTGCACTGCACACCTTGAACCATTCTCCCATACCCAACATGTGAATACCACATGTCGGATCGTCTGGCAAACCCTCATACACCGTTTAAATATCCTGGCTCGCAATGCGGTGAGGCCTTGCGTCCAACCTGGGCACAAGAAAGATACAAAATATTCAAAGACAACGGCCATGGCAGATGTCTTACAAAGCCCTCGTGCGGCGATCTAACTGACTCTGGCGACATAGCTAATTAAGGAACATTTTGGGGGCTTCGAGTTCAGGATGTTTAACGCCTGGGTGCGTGAAGAGTCGGGGTCGAACTGCACGGCTTCAGGACTGGTCGCGTCTGGGGACAGCAGCCAAGTCCAAACAAGAAGCCGAAGCGTGCCCAAAAAGAGCCACGCACCTCCCACCCCAAGCGCAACCAGCACGACTCGCTCTATGGTTCCGCCCCTGGGCGGCTAGGACTCCTAGTTCAGTCAGAGCACGAGAAACGACACTATGCCAAGGTCCAAGGTGCAAAGTGGAGCGCGCCTTTCCTGCCGAAAGCTGCAGCGATTCTTCGGTTGCCAATTGCTCTTGTTGATTGCGGCAAGGGCCAGACTAGACTCACGACAATCACAACACTTTTTTTGACAGTGTTCAAAAGCCCGTGCTCGGTTTGCTTGCTGTGCACGGAATATCGGGGTACAGTCTGGTGGAGGCCTTGCTGAATTCGGATTTCGCCCTGGTCTTCTTTTCAGGGCCGTATTCTACAGCTTTTCTTTCTCAGCATTGATTTGGCATGAGCGGGTTTGAGTACGTTCTTTGTTGAGGATCCCTCCGAGCTTGCTTACCAATATTGTCCTTTGGAGCCACCAAACCCATAAGCCAACCAAAACATCTCTTTAGCTTGGCGACCAATAATTTGGCTTGTTGCCCAACGAACTGATCAGCCCCCAAGCGAACCCTTGCGAATTTCCAGCCTGGAGGAAAAGGGACTGTACAGCATGAACAATTCGCCGACGTTCGTGGTCACCTGCGTTGTTTGCAGATGTTGCTTGTTGCTTGGTTTCGCTACGCCGCTAAGCCCTAAGCCTTTGAGATTAAGCCCTCGCAGCCAGACCAATCTCCCAACCAATCGGCCAAACGGCCAAGAGCAGGATGGGGCTCCATTTCTCAACCCAGGGCTGAAAGCCCTCCACATAGGAAGCCACAGGAAGCCCATGACTTCAATGTGGAACCCTACCCTGCCCAATGTCCCTTGAAACGTGAGTCACTGTTTCGCTGGTTCACCCTGAACGCGCTGGGCCCCGAGATCTCTGAGACTCCAGCGACAAGCTGGTTCAGTTCCTTCGGCCACACGACGCGTAGCACAGACCTCAGCTTCCACATGTGGGCGGGCGACTGTACGGCGACAAGCTCCTTCCCTAAGCACCAGTCAGCAAAAGAATGCGCGTTCGGAAGACAGAATTGGCCAGCCTTATGCAGCTGCCCGAATTTCTGGAGCATCGAGTGCCAAGATGCTTCTTGCCGAAGTCCAAGTTCTTGACTAAGCCAAAGGTCTTCACCTTACGTTGCAAATGAGATTCCTTAGGGCTGCAACTCTGGGGAGCAAAGCTGGTGGCAGAACCCCAACACGCAAGGTGATGAAGGCCTAAACTGTGGGCCTGAGATCCGTCACTTACTCCCTCCGGCCTCATGTGGCGCTCATATTACTATTCGCCTCGGCTTCCTGCCGAGAAGCGTCTGGAACAAGCAGACCTGGATCCGGTCTCCTTCCCCCTAACCCAACCCTTCCCCCCATACAGAATTTTGTGCCGCGCCCCTGCCCCCAGCGCAACCAACTTTTGGCTCCAGGCGTCATCTCCACATACTGCATGCTCTGGGCCGGCCCGGCTGCCGAGGCGGCGCGCTCAAGCGTTTACAATTACATACAGGTCCACACCCGACGTAGGCAACCTACGCACTGCAGGCGGCATGAACCACTAAAGTTTAAGGATCAAGGCTTGAGCAGCTTGATGCTGTTGCTTTGAGACCTTTCCCCTCTCTGATTCTCTGCTCGACTCTGAGATACCACGGTCGCATGGAGGCTGCACAGTAGCCATCCCAAGTCTTAACAACCTGGCCCTAATTCGCAGATGGGTCTGACCAGCCGAGCTGCATCATAGACCCGAAGGGTGGCGGAGCCTCCCAGCAAGCTACCCAAAGAGCTTTTGTTTGTGGAGGCGCTGTTATGAGGATCGTTAAGTCTCCGCGGTTCTGCATAAATCGAATCCCAAAGCCTCGAGCTTTCATGTTCTTTAACTCCCAAAAGCTTGCAAACTCCACTCCCAGCGCCCAAGCTAACCACCTCGAAACCTTGAGAACCTCTTCCGAGGTCTGCCCTGACCCCTGCCTAAGGCCCCTTTTGCCAGGGATGTGCCCGTTACCAGGTACCGCCCGTCCGGCGACCTGAGCAGGGAAGAGGAAGGAAGCTGCAGTCTGTGACCAGTGCTTCTACTTGTGTTGGGATGTTCCCCCTTATACTAGCAGTCCTTAATAGGGATTATCATAGGGGGTACGATAATCCCCATTAAGGACTGCTAGCATAGGGGGGGACATGCCTTTGTCTATGCCTCGCAAAACCCTCACAGCAGCGGCAATGCAGCGGCAAAAGCAGCAGCAAAGCAGCAGCAGGGTAGACAATGGACAGGCTGCAGCCAATCACAAGTGATACCAATACATGAACATCAAGCACAAAGACCAATCGTACACGACCTCAGTCTGTCCCAAGGCCCAATGTATAGGCGCGGCACGTGCAAATGCCGGTCTTATCGTGCGCTGTTCGCAAGTCATCGAAGACCTGGCGCATTGCAATGCGTTGCAATTTCTGTCTGTTTCAGCACATGGTTCTGCGAGACTCTGCTCCGCGGTTTAGGACTTTAAACCCATCAAACCTAAAGACCTAAACCACCCCAGCCAGCCTTCACCGGGCCTTTGGCATCTGAGAGCATCCGACAATCCCACACCTGCACTGGAGGCCAAAGCTAAACAGCTTAAACACCCCTTCGTTTTCAGGCGGCAGTTCTGTTTGTGGCCGGCGCTCTCAGCCTGTCCTTCTGCAATGAATAATAAAAAACCACCCTGCGCTTCTTCACGCCCACTCCAAGGTTCAAAAGCACCTGAAGGGGACCTCTGGCCTTCATGGAGTTGTCGAGCGACCCTGGGATGTCAAGACAGCTCTTAAAAACCCTTGCAGTTCGCACCTTGCCAGCGTAGGGAAAGGCAGGAAGTTTCTTGGCGTCCCTCTTGAATGTTGTCCAAGCTGCGGGTGACCAGGAGGTTGCTCTCGCTGCCCTGGACGAGCGTCGGCTCTACAAGTTCTTAGGGTGTTTCCGAGAGGCCTACTTTCTGCTACGTAGGAAAGCAAGGCACCACTACAAACCTTATGATCCGATTGGAGAGCTCAGACGTAAGGATGAAACGCAACAAGAAAAATCAACAAGACCTGCCTGTGAGGGCTACTGCACAGATCCAGGGGGTAAAGAAACAACTGCCTCAATCCGTCCTCAACAACAAATAGGGTCTTTTCGCTATCTAGTAAGCCCAATACTGACGAGTGTTCTTTCGGCTTCCGGAACCTTCAGTTCGATCTGTCATACTGAGTCCTACTGTCACTCTGGTGAAACTGCCATCGTTCAAGGGTCAAGTGGAGCATGCCATGCCAGCAACCCAAAACACAAGTGCATGCACCAACCTCCAAGCTGGATGCAAAGGGATTTCGCGACTTCTTCTCCGAGATTTGCGAAGTGTTGCTTAAAGAGCTTTCGATGCTTTTAGGACTGGCTGGGCCTAGTAGGGTTGATTGATAGAGCCCACGAAACCCTGGCCTCCGGGATGAAGCCAATGTCTGTGATGGGCTCCGTGTGGGCACTGCGGAGGATCCTCCCGCAGATCTTAGGGCACGGTTCGGGTTTAAGGTTTCGGCTCGTGCTCTCGACGCCCCTAAGCCGAAGACCCAGGACCCCAAAGGCGCCACGGAAACACTTGATCTAGAACAACATCGGCACCCCTATTTCAGGATCCTGGGTCTCTTTTTCTCACCTTCTTTCTTTCCCCGTCAAGCACCTTTTGTCTGACCCTAGGCCACGGGCTCCAATGACCCGCACGCAATCAGTCGACGGAGGACATCCCGACCCACAGCGCGAAGCCTGCGCGGAGGCATGGAAGTATTGATGAAAGAGGTTCCGCCGCCGTAGCCCTAGTTCGACACTCTGATCCGCAACCTCCCAAGGTCTCAGGCGCTGAATATGCAAGGGGCCCTACCTCTGCGGCATCTCCTGCACGCTGCCGGTGCTCCGGCGCAAGAACCACGCAGCTGCGTCGAGGGACGGGCCTTCGAGCCTTTGAGCGGTGAAACACTTTGAGAGGCTCGCTTCCTGTGTCGTTCTAATAACTCCTCGACCGAGCACAAGGAATCAACAAGCGCTTGGTTATGAGTCGGTATGAGTATTACATAGTATTACAGTATGAGTTGTCATTCAGGAGCGGGCTGTATCTCCAATTGCGCAGCCTACTTGCACCTTGCTTGTCATGTCATCCGTTTGCAAACACACTCCGGCATGTTTCATCGGTCACGGCAGTGACCTGCGGTAGCAGGAGATTCGAGGCCAAGCAGCTCGGTAAGGCGAAAGCCATTCACCCTCAAGACGCCTCCTGAGACAAGTGGCTGAGAAAGGCTTTCGACTCGCACGGCCGGGAGCCAGTGGACTCTCACGACCAGCTGTCGCGCTAAGCATGTAGGAGGGCTGAGAGGCTCAGGGGGTGGGGGCTGGTTACATCTGCTACTTTGGGGGAAATCCTTTCAGAGTGGGAGGTGAGGCTTCCGGCTGTCAGAAGGGCTCTCCTCGCGAGCTGAGGGGCTCCACTTGGAGTTTGAGAGCCCGGATTCAGGGTGGGACTCCAAGATGTGGAGTGCAGAGTTGTGCCCTCAGCTCCCCGTGCTTAAACCGTTAAAACCTCCACCCTTTATTCCATGTCAAATGACTCCTCAAGCCACAGCCCCAAGAATCTCGTTCTTTTCAATCCTCCTTTTTGGAGTGCCCCTGCGATCCGTAGAGGGCAGCCATGGAAAACCGCTCCCTAAGTATTGACTGGCACCTTCAAGCTCTGAAAGCCTTGCTAATTACCTCTCCTGGGAGGTTTGCATAAAGGGCCCCAGATTGTAATTCTTGTGAAGGCACCGGCCCCCCCCCTGTTCCCCCAACCCACCAAAGCCTGGCCGCAGCAACGCCGCCACGTTTGGACGCTTTCGCCAGCGAAGCCTCGGAGGTCCCTCCTCTTCTGCTTTTTTCTCGGAGCTTCGGCTTGAATTGGGCTTTAGCGGATTTGGGGAGCATGTGGGTTTCAGGATTTCGGTGCATGAATGCTGTTGAGCGATGCCAGGTAGCGATCGATGCCGAAATTCGCCCCGAGACCCGCCGAATTGATTTCATGAAGCATCAATCAACAGATTCAGAAGCCTTGCAATGTCGAGCTAATGAGCTGTATTGCCGGCATGCTGCAGTCTAGAATTCGGCCTCTCTCTTTAGGCCTGATGCCAAAGCTCAATAACACCGGGGAGAGGATTTTGAAGCACTGATGCTCTCAATCCACCAGGCTTTCCAAGCGTGACTGTATTGACAGCACTGCCACGTTGTTCAAGAAAGTTGTCCCACTTTTTTTAAAGTCTATTTCTAGGTGTCGCAGTCTCAAGCCTCTGTGTGTTTCTGCAAAATGCAACAACCAAACTATAAGCAGCCACAACTTGACAATCCCTCTTTTCAGGGTCACGCAGCTCCAAACCATCCTCGCAGGCTGCATCCGATGGCAAGGGCCCATGTTGGGCAAAGTGCTGGTCCTGGCGATCTGGTTGGGACTGGAGGGAGCCACAACAATTTCAGTGAGGTTGGCTTCGACACATGGGGGGTGTAAGTGTTGAAGTAGCTGCAGCATCACTTCTCCGCTGTCTGCACCAACGGAGGTGTAGAATAGGTTAGAAGCAACAGCCAGATGGAATGCCAATATTGGCCCACAGACAGGTTAAAATCAAATTCAAACTGCTTGCTGGCTCTGCTTCGCGCAGTACATAGCAAAAGGTCCAGAACATGCTCCCGTCGTGCCCAGAAGGCTTTCAGGGCCAGGTCGATGAACTCCTGCCGGCAGTGGAGCGAAATCGCCGCGCAGGAGGGATGAAAATCAGGTTGGCTCTGGAAGACTCACAGAAGGCATGTGGGAGGGCTGGGTTTGGGAATCTTGGGTTCCAAGGCTGGACCTCGCACCCTGCTGCCTTGTCAGGCAGCTGCGCAACCTCTAGCAGCTCAGCATCGCTGCCTCCAGTGAGCTGAACATCTCTTCTGCAAAGCTCGGGGATCGAACTTCGGGGCATCATGCTTTTTGCGATCGCATCGCAGAAGGTCGTCAGCTCATGAACTCGGAGTGCTTCCAGTCACAGATCTGCAATGAACTCTTGCTCATGTCTGGAAGCATTCAGATGCACCTTCTCTTAAGCATGCAGTATATCGTTGAAGACGCTTGAAGTATGTAGGGCTGGTCTCCGACCTGCAGCTGCAGCCCGGAGGAGAGCCTTCCGCCTGTCTGGGCAGGGTGCCGCGCCTGAGAGCCCAGAGTGTACAGGGTAGGCTCGAGCCTTGCCATCCAAACCTATAGGAAGACGAGGAGTTTGGACTCTCACACTCTCTTGATGTGGCGTTGCAGTGGCACCTGCAAGAAAGGTCATACCCTGGATCCAGCAACGAGAAGATCCCTCTCGATCGAGCTTCGAGCAAGGCGAATGTGAGCCTCGAATGAGCTCAGCCAGCTCCGCAGCTCGAGCGCGGAGGTTGCTTGCCATGCCAGCAAGGAGACCTCGGTGCGGACGTCGCTGCAACATGTCGCAAAGGGTATTTGGGCACCTGCACCTCAGAAAACGCTCAGGACCATGTGCCCGAATCCACATGACCCATTTAAGTTGGACCACTGAAAGGAGGCCAGCAATTTCAAGCCCAACATCCACTTCCCGAATACCTGTCGCCTCATTTACATTTCTTAACACGAACTCTTTCCTGGGCCTTCCCACAACGCGGCCCCTCCCTCAACAAACACCTGAGGCCCTGTACTTTGCTCCTCGGCCAAGTCGTCCGGGGTTAAGGATCCGACCTCAGCTGAAGCTGAAAGGCGCTTTCAGGGAATTTAGAGGTTTATCCACATCTTCAAGGGGCGTTGGGCTGAGCTGAGGCGCTAAGGCTTTCAAAGCTCGGCAGCTTCGGCTTGCAGGCAAAGGTCGCAGGAGCTTTTTATTTCTGCAGTCGTTAAGAGCCTTTTTCTAGCTTCCGCCATTTTGCAACTGGACCGATGTCTTTTTTTTTTTGCGGGAAAAGCTGCCGAGGGCATCCAAAGAAGCTCTGCGCTGCCATTTGGAGCGCTCCAATCCTGCCCTTTTCTTAGGTGCCTGGAGCTCTTAAGCCGGGGCCCGGGGGGGGTAGTATCTAAGCAGTATCTTGGGTGCTCTTCACCCCACAGGGCATCATGGGGCCGCAGGGTTTAAGGCCCACCCAAACAGCAGAAACACACACAAAGCAGGGCACTTCTCGTGCGGTCGCGAGATGAGAGTGCCAGGCTGGAAGTAAAACGTAACAAGGCCTCAAGTCCGAGACCATGTTTTCAGGTTTAGGCGGGCCATTCAAGAACTGCAGCCCTGAGTCAAACATGTGCGAACAGCTACGCGCTGCGTTGGGCGTGCGAAAGGACCCAGACACGATGAAGAGGGAGAGAGCATCTGGGGGATGCCATCTCCAAAAAAGGGACTTCGGAGTAGAGTTGCCATAAGTAAAAAAACACAAGTATGAAACAAAAAATATTTGCAAAGCCCCCCCCCCCCCTCCCCCCGCAATTCCCCCAAGAATAAAAACTCAAATACGTGATTCGGTGTGATTGACAGTTGGAGGTAAACTCGAATTCTTAAGTTCTACGATATGAAAGGCCGGGAATATTGGAAGCGAGTGGCGGATAGCGTTGCGGTTTTTATCAGCATTCAAGATATCTTCCCGGCCCACAGAAACATCGATTCCAGAACTTGTACTACAATTCCGTGAAGATCGTGGCGGATCATGCGTTGATTTCAGTACTGCATTTGCACATGAATTCCATGAAAATCCTTCCGGCTCACGGAAATATTGACTGGCACCCGCGACAGTAGTTGAATGAACATGACTGACCTCCAATTATGTTAACGAGGGTGCTCAAGTCATTTTACGGCGTTAACTTTTGACGGAAGTAATTTGGCGAAGTTTCTGCAACTGCTGTGTGTTAGATGGTTGAGCATGCTATCTAAAGTAGAGGCCGATTGTTGCTAACATGAACTACTAGAACTAGACGCTAGGAACAATACGTGCAGGCATGTTGCCTTGTACACACACACACACACACACGAATCGCAAGACATATGCAGCTTATAACTTATACAGCAATACGCTTAATCATACTAGTTCCCACCCAAGTTGAAAATGCAAATCCTTCGGCTAATTTACTTTCAAAAACGGAGGCCAAGTATTGTTTTGCAGTTACACTTTAGAATGGCCGGCAATATTGGAAGAGAACGAAAGACAGCTACTGGGACAACCGATGCGCCAAATGATCGTTCTAATCAGGGGCTGGTTGTGCGTTTCATGGACTGGAAGCAAAATATAGTAAAATGACAACTGGCATCGGACGTGAAAATGATCTCATGATCCAAGCGACGGAGGGGTTCTAAGGGTCGTCCGGGGTGAGGGGTGTGGGGGCATACATCTTTTCATTCTCGTGACTCAGGTTCAATCTCGTTGGGAACTGGGTTGGGAAGTGAGGCGTGCCGTGAACCTTGAAGGATAAGAGGGTCTTGCAGATAGGGATCATGTACCAGGGGTCTTGTTGCGGGTCTTATCCGTTGGGGGGGGGGGGGGGGGGGGGAGCAAGTCCTCCCACCCCCTTCGCCTGTGCGTATAAGCAGGCCAGATGCCTAGAAGCAAAGCTCCTTTGAAAAAAGAAAGCCCAAGTCGTTACCAAACCCATGGTAAGTCCGAAATCATTTTTTGCCGTGAATACTGCATTTCTCACATGAATGCTGGTATCTTAAACCCTCCCCCTCTGGAAGTAGATTCTCCGTGGAAAAAGGGGGGGGGAGAGGGGTACCATATGTATGTAAGGACACATATGAGAGGTCCACCAAGGTGTCAAGAGGCCAGGGAAAGGTGCTGCGGCAGAAGCTGGTGCAGCCAATGCTCCTTGGGCCCACGTCAGTCTACTTGGCACCCGGCTACAGCTGAGCGCAGTGCATTGCAGGGCAACTTAACTGGCAAAAAGCGCTCCTCCCAAAAAGGCCCTGATCCTTAGCCATGCCTGGACTGGACTGCAGTGGAGGCTCGAAACTTCAGACGTCGTGTTGCAAGTTGAGTTACGAAGTGTGCCCGAGTCGCTGAGCCCCTCGCCATGCTACTGCCCTAAACCCTAAACCCTAAACCCTAAACCCTAAACCCTAAAAACCCTATACCCTAAACCCTAAACCCTAAACCCTAAACCTAATCTCGACGACCTCAGCACAAAAACTAGAGGCTCTCGGGCTTCCAGGTTTAGGCTTCGGAGGGCTTCCTCTCTTCATAAGCCCAGGGTCACGTGTGCCGAAGGCGGCAAAGGCCTGCCCACGACCTTCCATCTCTTCCACGACAGAGGCCTGGCGCGAGCCGTTTTGAGAAGGAAAATCTTCAGTCCTATAGGCCTGTGCAGATTTGCACTTCGGATTCGGAGGCTTTGACGGGTTGAGCTGTTCTCTATAAATTTCTGCATGCGATTCGCGCCTAGTTGCTACTTCGGGTTGTGAGTCCCCTGTCTGGCACCAAGGTTCGTAAACCTACTTGCATGCAACTGTTTAGGGCTATAAGACGAGCAGTCAAACGGGCTACCTCAAGAAGTTCTTTCGAGTCTGGGAAAACGTTTCCACGTCAAAGGAAGGTTCTCCTCGGCAAAAGCAGCGATTGGGCTGCGTTGATTTCAGGGGGTCTGTTGTTGCCTTGGGTGGGGTCTTGAATCAAGATGGTGGACGAACATGTTTAGTGCTGGTAATCTGGCAATGGTCATCTGTACTGAACTCAACTTAAAATCATGTGGGTCCTTGCACCTCAACCACTAAGTCGGGAGCATCTTTCCCCATTCTCATGTCAAACCATAACCCGAAACCCCTCATTGTTGCTCCTGTTTTGCAGGCTCTTGTTGGGTCTCTGTCTTGTGCAACCTCAAAACCAGCGAGACGAGGGTCATGAGAACTTCGCGGAAGTGCAGATCTAATTTCTGTACAAGAACGCCACACTGTCTCTTGCAGCAAGCTTCCCAATCGGGAAGCGTGGCTTAGGTTGGTGATATGAATGTAACAGAGGTTCAATACTCCCACTGGGGCCAGATATCAAATCCAGAGCGGCTCCATTTCAAGAGGCGCCCAATGCCTCCCATCTGCTGAGACGCATCGCCTCGATGCCATTGATCCAGCAAACCACCAGCATCAAACAGCAGGTGCCGAAGGTACCGATTGAAGGCGTCCTTGTCTGGAATCTTCTGGAGAATTTCCTCGACATCCTCTCGCCGGGTGGCCTTCATGTCTTGCACTCGCAAATCTGCTAGTTTGGCCTGGGAACCCTCCAGCGTTGATCTGGAGAAAACCTTGAGACGCTGCGGTATTGCGAGTTCATTCGCTTCTGCAATTTCTGCGATGCACCAAGCCCTGTTGAACAAATCGAATTTGTCATCGACGGCAATAATTTGTTGCAAGCCGGTCTGGCTGGCGAGATAGCTCATCATACAGTCGAACTTGTTCAGCTCGCAGTCGATGCTCTTACCTGTTACGTCAAGCGGTGGAGTTGTGTTAAATGCCTTTGGCAGCGTGCATGCGCAAACAGGATGCTCAACTCCAGTCACTGGATCCTTGTCTTGACCCATATTTGCCCTGCAGATGTTCGAGTGCTGGTTCACGGAGAATGCGCACACCCAGTACGCTGTGTTCCTCTTTCCGAGTTGGGTGATCATCTTTTCCAGGACCGTCAAATCCGACTGCATCAGCTTCGCCACCACTGCAAAGCTGGGTTCATTCAGGGCATCGGAGATGATGGCGGCCATGAGGTGTTCGAACAAGTTGGCCCAGTTGTGCGTCACCATCTTTGTCGGTAGAGTACCCGTTTTCTCGTTTACCATGCAGGCATACGAGCTCCGGGTCCCCTCAGCAGCAGGGCAGCAGGAGTGGCTTTGCACTTTACTGGGAGGGAGCCTTGTGGAGAAGCTGGGGCCCCAAAAGTCAGAAGAGCCTGTGCTTACTCAAAAGCAAAGGCAGACTCTTAAGAGCAGCAGCTTGGGTGAGAGGGATGATTGCTTGCCGTACCACGTCAGCAGTGGTGTGGTGCTCGGCGGAGTAATGATACCTCGGCGTGGTTTGGTTGCTTGATGTGCTCACGAACACATTCAGGATGAAGCAGCATCTCAACAGAACGGACCCCAACAAAAGCCAAGGCACATGTATCTCGTGCCCAGGCCCTTGTAAAACTCAAGCAGGTGATGCAAGGAAATGCCCCGGCTGGCGAGCTCAGCCACCTTGGCCATCCATGGATCATCCAGGGACTTCACGGCGTGTTTGCGGAAGGAAGCCGGTGCCGGCAGTTTCACCCTAGCCGCTGAGCATAGGCACATGTTGCCGGAAGAGGCTTCCAAGTCGGCTTTCAGACCGCCTGACAGCACCACGGCAGCCGTGATGTTGGCCAGTGTGTCAAGGGACTGGAAGATGGAGTTGCGGAGCATTGCGGCTTGGATGTGACTCAAATTCCAGTCTTTCAGGCCAACGACATAGAATTCACAGACCACGCTCGGGAGAACGATGAAGCTCAGCAGAACACTCGCAGAGACTCCCCACAGCTGACGGCGTGTTAGCTGTCCTGCAGTCTCAACTGAGCGATCATTGGTTGCAGTAGTTTTCTCAACTCGCTTGGGCCTGCCTGGGAGAAGGTGGCGGTAGGGGTTCAGACCTGCTTTCAAAGTAGTCGGGCTCTCAGCATCTTAGGCCTCATGTCGCCGAGAAAGGGAGCAGCTGCATCGACAGACTGCTATTCCAAACGGTTCAGGGTGATTGAACTTGTCGTGGCGGCAGCTGCTGGATTTGCAGAGTCTTATTTGGAGGTTTACGAAAATAAGGGACCCCAAAACAAAGACCCCCCACATGGTAGGATCCCCTTATTATAAGGACCCCAATAAGGTTCCCCTAATATCGTAAACCCCCCAAATTTGAACAGGATCGCAGCTCGGTGCATGTGCAGCTGGGAGCCCTGTCCTGCCAGCTGCAGCTCAGCAACGCTGCCGCTGGCAACTGTGGCTTTCGTGGTCGCAAGAGCATTTTGAAGCGATGAGAGGACACCCCACATGGATTCCATCATGAGGACGGCACTTATGCAATATAGCGCGAAGTTGAAGAATCCTGCTCCGCACAATACTTGGACCCACATCCTCGTCTGCATCACACATTCGGGCTCAAATCATTCACACGGCAGCGCGAAACCTTCAACTCAAATTCTTAAATGTTTTACATGATTTTCGCAACCATCTCCCAAATTTTGTTTTTAATTGGAAAGTTGAATCTATCCAGGCTGCTCTCGCGTCTCATACTGCACAGTTCGGAAGAGCGGTATGGCCGTGCTCACAACGAAGCCGGCAACCACCACCTCCTTGGATGGTACATGAAATCGGCACATCCTCCCTCATGCAGGGTCGTTCGGGGCTTTAACAGCCTGAATAGCGTCAGCTTTCATTTTGTATAGACCAAGTGAGGACCAGACTGTTGTCACTCCCAGTTGCTACGAACACCACTAGGAAGATCACTACAGTAAGCTGCAAAACAGAATGAAACACGTGGCCGAGTCTCGACGACCATCATCACCTTCAGCCGCTTCAGTCGGAAACCATGACCGGAGCTGGACTGCAAGCAGGACAGGCGCTGGAACAACAGCTGTTGCATCCAGAGAAGGCCGACAAAGAAGAGCCATCCTCTGAAGACCATGACCTCAGACGCTTCTTTTTTACCAGTTTATGGAAGATTTTTTGATCATAAATTGGAAATGTCAATAGCAAAGCAAACATTGCAGAACGACCCAGCCACATACAGCTGAAGCACGAAGACATCATTCAACCAGGCGTCCTGACCAAGGGTATGCTTCTCGACCCTTCGGTATCGTAGCGCTTACGACCACCTCTATGCTCAACTTGTGGAAAAAAGTCCCTAATCGACCTCCCCAATTTCGGTAAGCGCCTACAGTAATCGGGGCCCTAAATCTGATTCGACTCTTGATCACAAGGGGGGTCCCTTCCTGCTTCTTGGCCTTGGGCCAAACCGCGGACATCAAACCATACGAGCACCCTTCAAGACGTCGGAGAGGTGCATGAAACAGCGCCGCCGACATTGCCTTGTCCGGACTCTCTTTAACTTCACTCTTGGAGACACACAAGTGGGCTCTTTGATTTGTTCAGCGCCACAAGTCTGTCCGAGCCCAGCACTAAGGATTCAGAACGGTGGGCGGACAGAGGTGAGCTTGCCAACTGCGAAACTGTCCTCGCTTTTGGACTTCTGGACTCTTGGTGTCTGTTGGGCGTGCTCTCGGCAAAATACGAAACTCCTCACAGTGTAGGGGCTTGAGGACCATTTCCCGTTCAAGGGTTCAAAATGGGGCATGTGATGCCAAAGCCAAAAGCCAAACCCAACTTCGAAGTGGATCTTGAAAAGCAACGCGACGTCTCAATGTTGAAGTTTCCCGGAGCATGTGAAGCTACATACTACACATTTTGAAAATGCCCCAGCGCATCTAAAGCCATGCGCGGGCCGGCGCATGTACCGAGTTCGAGTCCCGAAAGGGCTCCCACCCAGCTTGACACACTACAGCCCATGGCTTGAGCCCATTGTGCCCCAAACAGTGTATCTTACCGTTTGAATTACAACGTGTAGAGCAGAGCCGCGGCCGGCGCCCCCCCTTGTGCATTCGAAATCGTGCTCTCGCCTAGGCCCGGGCGTGGCCGCGCTCGCCGTCCTCGAGACTGGCATCGATTTTGGTTTTGCAGCGCCCTTGCTTCGAAGCTCTCAGCAAGCGACACCCTTTGTCTGCCCGGGCAGCTTTGCTGCACATCTGTCATGTTTGTGCTGCGCGGATTGGAACGTGCGGGCTGCCACAAGGTCCCATAATCAGCCTCATGTTCTTGGCTGGTCGGCATGAATGGAGCCCAAGGAACCTTCAACCAGGAGCCAAACCTCCTTAGTCCTTGACAAAAGCACACTGACAAGCTGTCTTGGCTGGGCCGACTTGTCATGCATCATGCAGGGAACCTGTGCAGTGGACGCACAAGCCCTTGTCCCGAAACGGCGGCAAACCTTTATATTGAAAGGCAGGCAAATCTTAGGGTTTGGGTTTAGGGTGGGGATGATCGAGTGACCAAGAAGAGAGCAATTCCATCCCAGATCTAGTTGCTTGCACCGCGTTGAACATGGCGTAGCCAGCTGCAGCAAGAAGATGCCATGTACTTGCTCTGCATGCCAGGTAGACAGACACTTGCCAACCCACCATGCTGCAAATAAAGAACACCACAAAGTTGACATGGTCATCTATGTGGCAGCCATCTTGGCGGCAGTCGCAATCTTCTTTCCCATACTGAAGGTCATTCTGCGACGTTAAGGAGACAGTGCGGGGCCAGAAAGCAGCAGCAAAGCCACATGTCAGGCCAAAGGACAGGAAGTGGCCAGCCCACTGAAGCCGCCTGACTTTTGGCCAGTGCATGCGAAGTGGTCGGCAATGCATGCATAGGCGGCCGACTACATGAAGGCCATCCGGATACAAGGACAACGTGCCTGTATTTGCGCGTCCGCTCATTCAGGGGTTAGATGAATCGCGTCCTACTTGTGTGGCATTGTGTGCTACTCCAGAGACAACCTCAGCTTGCTTCAGATGAACCTCAATATGTCGGTATGTGTTTGGAGACGTCGACGGTCTGACCCGACACGCTGCGATGAAAAACCAGGGCTTGAGGTGATTGACAGTCTTCAGGGTTGGATTCAGCGTTTTCAGATCATGCAGCCCACAGACCTGAGTCAGGGTATCGGGATTAGCTGACCAGCCTAGGGTCGGACGCCTTCATCCACAGACACGAAATCCAAAAGAAAACGAACCCTATTCCCTAAATCTTGGCGCTGAATCCTAAAGCGCGGCCTATAGGATTTAGAATTAAGGATTTAGGTTTAACTGCTTAACCCTGTAGGGTTTCGGGGCTTCTCTTTAAAATCCCGAGCCCTTAGCCGGTACGGTTTTAGAGAATATGTCTTGAACAACCCTGAAGACACCAGGGCCACCAGGGAGCGTAGCGGAGCGGAGCGGGAGGGGAGGTTGGGGTGTTCAGAGGGGTCCTGGATATGTTGGAAAACTAGACCGTAAGTGGATGTTTATTGTCAACACTTGAACCCATGAGCCTGAATACTCACTGCATTGCGCGCCCATATGCCGACATGCAATAACACACGGCGATGCCACCGGCAGCCGCGCGCCAGCTGCTGGGACCCTGCAGGAAGCCTGGTTGACATGCAAAGAGGGCGTTGACACAACATTTAGGTGTTGCAGATTCCACCCAGCAAGCCTAGTCAACATTGAGGGGGTGTTAGGGCCGTGCTTTGCATTATGCGGCTTTCTTAAGGAACGCGAGGCATGTGACAGCAAACAGCAAGCTAGCGGGCGCATCTGTCACTGTTTAGTTCAGGTGCCCGCACGCAGTGAGCACCAGCTTACTCGACCTGTTTGAAGACCAGCCCTCGATTGAACCTGCTGTTTGCTGTTTGCTTAACCCTAGAGACCGCAACATGCAGGCGACCTCGCTGCTCAGCGTCAGCATTGCAGCAAGGACGAAAGCCGTACCTTACATAGGCAGTGAGGCCAAAAGTCCCAAGCCGAGCACTCAAAAGCCAAGACGGCCAAGATGCTGAGGGGCAGTCGGTGGAGGCCCAGGGCCTGGAGGATCGGGGATTTCCGAGGGGAACTGCTGGGGCAAAGGGAAAACTCCAAGCCCTTACACTCTCAGGGCTTCAAGGGCTTCAGTTTTCAAATCTCGATGCTCGCGCTCTCTGAGCAAAGCGGTCAGCGTCCGAAGATGTTCGAAGTAGGGCTACGGGGTGTGGGGCTCGGAGGGCTCAAAGGGCTCAGAGCATCCGGCCATCGTAGTCTCAAGTCCCAAGCATCAGAACCTCAAGAGTACGACATCTGAAGCCCTAAGAAGAAGCCCTGAGCGCTTCATCTCAGTGTGACAGCCTCGAATCATCACATCCAAGTTGCTTAGCCCCGGAGCCCTTTTAGATTCCCAGACTGGGCGCCACATGGAGCGAGGGTGAGGTGCCCTCTCGTGCGGCTGCGTGGTGTGGAATCCCTGCCAGGCCGAGCGCTGCGACGTATCAGTGCAGCAACGCTTAGAATTAGAAGTTGCATTAAATTAGCATGTCGATTCCCCCCTCGATCCTTTCTTCTAAGGCTCGGCAAAGAGAAACTGTTGAAGGTCATTTTTGCCTTTTGCCCGGAAGGGGTTGACTGGTCAAGCGCACCTTGGGGCAGGTAGAGCACATCTCCCGCATGGAGGACAACCTCAGCATCCAGCAAGTCGCTCGACATTGAAAAAAACGGCGCAGTACCCGAGTAGTCCCGAGTCGGCTTGGATTTTGAGGATCCAAGATGCACCTTGGCCACGCCCTCTTCGTCCCAGGCAAGCGAAAGTCTAAACTTATGCCATTCCAGGACGATTCTTCAAGGAGGGTCCAAGTCTAAGGTTGTGTCTGAGCTGGTGCCCACAGGGCCTTCCACCTTGTCAAGATGTGCAAACCTAAACTCTAAACTCTACACAACAATTGAATACTTTTTGGAGGGGCTTGAAACCGCCAAAAACTCCAAGACCGAGCTCAGGTTGCCGATGCACCTCCTCCTGAAGCTCTCGTGTAGCACTGTCCAGCAGCAGCCACTTCTTCTCGCCCGCCAGCTGCCTGCGAAGCTTATTACACCCTTGCCCCCTATTGTGCACGACGCACACCCACGAAAAAGGCGACTGTCTCCTCAAGGGCTTTGGTTTTGGCACTAAATTTAGCCCCAGCGGCAACACGAGCACATCGTGATCATCAACATGTGGGGGCTTGCCAATGGCACCTTGCAGCAGCTTACCGGGATGGGCGTAAACCGAGAACAGCTTTTCGGTGTGGACTTGATGGGGCAAGCGAGCCAAGCGATAAGAGTGCAGGTAATTGTCTGGCAGCTTGCGAGTGCAGGGCTGGTGGTCTGGACAAAAGCACGACGTGCTTCGGTGCACAGCCCCGTCAAATACTGGGTGTCTGACCTGGTGGTGTCAGATAGGCATTCATTCCGCCACTGAGGCCTCATTTCAGGGCCGGAGCAGCGAAGCTCACTGGCTTGTGACTGCAAAATTCGCAAACTCCAGGCCAGGCAGCCAGTCAGCGCGAAGACCTGCTGGTGCAGGGCCTGCAAGGAACAGGTTGGCATCCACGACTAATCGCGGGTGTGACCATGTCAGGGTGAGGTCCTTATTGTTCTGCTCACGTACCTTCCTGCCAGGATTCCGGCAGCGCGCAACTTAACGAGCCACAACAAACTGCGATTCGCCAGGTGAGCATGTCGAACCATCTTCAGGCTTTCAGGACTCATCCTTCAAGTCAGAAGGCAAAACGCCTAGCCTGTTACTTGTTGCAGGAAAGAGCAAGGTGCCTGTAGTTGCGGTGATGTGCTCTGCAAGTGATTCACCACCAAGGTCCATCCTCCCACACAATGCCAGGATGAGAAGCTGGGGTTGGGGGCGAGAAAGGAATGTCGTGCGTGTGTGGGTGTGTGTCGGCATGCATGTCTGTGTGTCTGCGTTTGTTTTTCATTGTTTTTTCCTCTTTTATTTTGTGTGTGTGTGTGTCTGTGCTCGTGTACGGGTGCGTGCGTGCGCGTGTGCGTGGGTGTGTGTGTGGCCTCCCACCGTGCCAACGAAGACGAAGACACTTACAATTGGTGGCGATGCGTTCTGGGACGCTAGAACGCGTGCACCTGCAGTGATGGTTATAGCATCCTCTACCACCAGCTGTGTATGGTGCATCCAGAACTTTCTTGAATAACAAGACCCTTTGACTGGAGCAACTCTGGATATGATGTGCTGAGCATGGACTTGAGTTCGTGGGTTGCACCTCAACATGTGGCAGATCCAGCATGCTAGCCGAAACATTTTCATTGATGGAGCATTCTCGGAATGGATGCTTCGGAGCTTTCATAGTAGGACCACTAGGAGCCCTGAGCTTCAGTATCGTGCAGCATCGGCAACATGTGTGGAGATTCTGCGTGCAGCAGGTACAACAGATGTTAAACAATCTGTCCAGCACGAGATTTCATGAAGAAGTTCTTTGGTGTAGCATTGCCGACACATGTCGAAGCAAGCTCTGGCACAGCAATCAGCGGTGAGTCCGTTTGCATGCCTTAGACGATTCCATTTTGCGTAGGTATTTCTGCAGAGTGACGCATTCAGCATGTGAACGTGCAGAAATTCCTAGGGGGCATTCGGTTGATGTTTGCAGCGATTCCCCTGTGCAGCATGTACAACATGGCTGCACTCTCAAAATACGTACACTGTACGGCCATATAAAATGTCATTCATCCTCTTCTACCTCCTCTTTTCACTCTCAACTACATCTGCGGTTCTCATCCGTCCCCGCGACTCCCATATGGATATGGACATGGGTGTCAGACTGAGAGGTTCAGAGTGAGTGAGTGAAGGAAGGAAGGAAGGAAGGAAGGAAGGGAGTGAAGGAATGAGTGGAGTGAGTGGAGTGAGTGTGTGAGTGTGAGTGTGTGTACGCGTGCGCGTGAACCCTAACCGGAACTCTGGCTCTGCTTCCGCCTCCACCTCGCTCCAGTACATCCGCGGGGGTCTGCAGCGCTGAGGATGCCAGGAGCTGTCGGATGTCGGCATCTTGCTCCAGCGTCTCCTTCCGAAGCTTCAAGGGCGGCTTGTTTAACATGCGACCTCTCGCATGGACCTGCCTGCATGAGCAGTCTGCGGACTGGGAATGCGAAGGCAGCCTGCACCCGACGCTTGACGCCTTCAGAAGCTATTGTGCTGAGGACCCCCCCGCCCACGAAACTAAAACCACGCCCACTCTCGACATTGGTGCTCAAAGACAAACCTCAACAGAAAGCTCCCAACGAACAACTTACGCCTAAACCCTTACTGCTCTCCGTCGTGAGCTGCCCAGCGCTCACAGTGCGCCGCACCGCTGAAACGCTGAAGGGCGGGTAGGAGCCAGCGTGTTTCGCCTCGGGGAGCGAGGTCCTCAGGCCTAACCTGGAAGTGGGCACACACACACGCACACTCGTGTGGAACATTGCGTTAGGGACAACGGCCCACGACTTAGGCATCGTCTTGAGCGGTTCGTGCACATGTGTCTTGAGTTTTGCAGTTCGCACGGTGCTTGTTGTTTTCGTATTTGGCTCGTCTGATGGGTAGTGTGGCACCGTGTTCCAATCAGTTGCAGTATCTTGCTGCCGACATACGTTGAACCAACTCAGGCTTGGCAACTGCGCTCTGGTCTTGAAATTATCTCGAGACATGTTCTGAGCTCATCCAGTTCGTTGGTGCTCATGGCCGGCACCTGTATTGAGAAGCTCTGCTTCTTTGATTTCTTGCTCGTCGTCGGAAGCACGGATCAGCTGATAGGCTTTACCATCGTTGCCTCATGCTGCACTTCCCTGCTGCAACCCTGCAGGATTGTCAGAAAGACTGGCCAGACAAGGTCGCTATACAAGGGGATGCTCTTATTCGGCACACAGCCGCATTCCGAACAGCATTCGGGAGAGTGGCCGCCTCCTGCTCGCCGTGCTGCAGCCGCTGTTGCATCCGCGCCTTTGCTATGTGTGAGTCTTGGGTCTGTGAAACACAACCTCTACCTGCAGCGAGCATTCTCTTTCTACTAGCAGGCACAGCAGTGGCCATGTTGATGAGAAGGGCAGCTGTGAGGACTAAACATCAGTTGCACCCGTACGTCTTGAATCCGGCCGCCAGTTGGGAGCTGCGAGCGGTTGCAGGATCGAAGTCTCGCAGCGACGAGAGCAGCTCCTCAAGTTCACACTTAACTTCTACACGGGTGGTGGAGGTATAGTGGGCGACCTTGCACAGGATGGGCATGCACCCCTCATCCCGGAATTGCTTCCAAAGCCCCGAAGCCCCGGATCTGCTCCTCCACCCCAAAGCCCAGGGGGGGCAGCGCGCATCGCGCCACATGGAAACGTTGGCCGAAGGAAGGGTCCTCGAAACTCAGAGTTCAACCGAACAGCTCAGCGTTGGTGCCACCAGACCCTGACGATCCCCCGCCTCTAAGATGGTGGCCCTCGATGCGCCCGGCTGAAGAAGTGCAGCCAAGGGGTCTTCCTCTGTGGCGGTGGAGTAACCGCCTCAAGCACTCTATTCATGAGATTGTGTAAGGAGGTGCAGCCCATGTGACTCGGCTTTCGGGCCTAGGCCTCTAGGCATGGGAATGTCTGGTTTTAATGGCGCGCTCTTGTTTGACTCCTCTTACTGCTGGTACACATGGCGCAGTAAATCGCAGTAACCATGATTTGACATCTTGGACATTGGCAGTTGGACATAAAGTGGTGTTGATGTTGATGAGCATTCGAGGAAAGCTGGCCAAAAAGGCACGAACCTTTCAATAAGAGGAGCCTCAACCAGGAGAAAAATGCCCTGTTGTTCTTCTGCTGTTCCCAGCGCAAGGGGCATCTCACAACACGTGTCATCAAGTGCTGCAGGCATCACTAAACATCCCATCATGAAGATTCACCCCATGTTCAGACCCTCCGACCTGGTCTCCCATTCTCTGCGCCATTGGTCAGGAGCCGCCGCGCGCAAATCATCTGCTTCACGCAGTCGCGTCCCTGGCATCGCAGCATCGTGGAGTCATAAAGGTTTCCAGGATCTCGGGCCTTGGGAGGCGAAAGGCACTGCCTTCCGAAGTGCGACGCCACGTAACTGCGTCTGCCAACCAACAAGCCACAAAACCGCAAGCGCCCGAATGCCCCAACCACAGATCACAGCTTTGATGTGGAGGGGACTACGCCTGAATGCCCAAGCTCTGACTCAAGCCCAGAGCCCTGCCTCGTAGTCTTCCTGCAAGCCATGTGCGTATGCCAGCCTAGGCGCAAGGAGCAGAAACCCCTAAAAAGTCTGAGGGGATCAACCGATTGCAGAGGGAGATTTGGGAGGCACGGGTTGATGGAGAAGCGTTGCTTCGGGCAAAGAAGCCACTCAATTGTGCATTCCTCACATGAACCAACTCTTATGGGAGAAATCATGCTAACGCATGCTCTGGATTCGTCTTGATTGGTTCGTTATAGAGTATAGTTCTCACGTGCTCTGATCCGAAGGCCTTGAAGCCTAACTCCAAGCCTGCAAGCGGAAGCAGGGTTGTCTTGCTCGGGCTATCCGGCCAAACCTAAACTTCAGGCATTTCATCCAATGTCTTGCTGACAAAATCCGAATCCCAGCCTGCATGTCAAGCTGCACGTTGAACTGTGGCAGTGTCAGGTGCAGCAGCTCATTGGCGCGGAGCACGCGCTGCTCCACCACCTCCGGAGCCCCCCCCCCCCCTCCCCCCATACCCTGCTCGAACCAAGGCTCTCCGTTTGGGCCACTCACTCTTTTGTCCTCACGAACACCAATTCCGTGACGTCATGGCCTTACCCGCCACATTCAACAGCAGAATTGTACTCGATGGCACCAAGTAGAAAGATGAAATCAGAGCCGCTGGAAGAAGGTCTGAGCCCTCCCACATACGACAAACGCGACTTTGCTCTCCTTCTCAAGGATTTTCTAGTCCAGGTATGAAAACATCACCTCGGCGGACTTCGGCTGGGCGAACTGCTCGTTGCCCTCAGCCCAGGCCTTCGGTTTAGCGGGGTTCATGGCTTCCACGCGTTCAAGATATGCTTGTCCATGCATGCTCAAGGTCGGGCTGAGAAGGCAAACAGTTGCTCGCCCATAGATTCTGAAATTATCTGAAAAATTCTAAAAAGTTGCCGCTTCTCTTGATTTCTGGAATGTTCTGGAACGTCTCTTCAAGGGGCCCACCTCAAAGAGCAGGATTCCGTCGGGTGCCACGAGCTCTGCAATCCTTAGACGACTCTGTCCTTACAATGAGAGCTGTCTCTCTCTCTCTCTCTCTCCCTTGCTCCTTTTCTCTCTGGGTCTACCACTAAATGCCGCTAAGTCCTCTGAACTTACACAAAGGCCCGGCTTAAGAAGTTCAACACTTCTCACCTTCAATTACAGATGGTCTCCAAGCCTATTTCAGCTTGTGTGAGTTGACGTGCTGTTACCACTCCGATGTTCCCGTAGCCTTGTTGAACGAAGTCGGCGCTGCGGGAGGGCGGTGGGGCCCGGGAATGCCAAGTTTCTGCTGCAACAAAGGTCGGCAAAGGTAGTTCACCTTGAGAAGAAGAGGCAGAAGCTTCTTCGACTTGACGTAATCCTATGCCATGGCTCAACATCAACACGGGGACCGCTGGTTTTGAATGAGGGGGCTTGGTTCACACGCCTCATTCGCTGCAATCTCCCTACTTCACCTCACCAGAATCGCGGAAACAACAGCTCTTGAACTCTTGAACTGAAGACGGAAGACCTCGGGCTTGATGAAATTGACTCATATCGGACTTGAGGCTTGAGAACGACTCAGATCAAGGAAAGAATGCTGATTTCACGACTGGTGGGGTCTGAATCCCAAACCCCCCCCCCCCCCCAATACAGCCAATACACCATTACCACACGATTGCACATCCTTGCTGAGCTCCCTGCCACGCACACCACATCGAATGGCGACCCCAAGACTGAGGACAGGGAGCGACGGTCCTGAAACAAGGCGATGGCAATTCCTCTGCGTTCCTATGCCAGCTTCGCATGCTGGTGGGTAGCTTCTGGTTTTGGGTGCATCGAGCTCGCCACGTCGTGGTTGCTGATGTTGGTTCTGGGGTGTCAGATTTCGTTGAGGGGTGCGAAATTCGACTCCAAGCCACAAACACAACAAGCAACCTAACACATCGAAGCCCTCGAAGATCCATGAAGGCCCTTGAATCCAAGCACTTGGCCTCCACATCCTCTACGCGTGCAGACAGTCGAGGAAGCTGCTCCGGCGGCACCCGGCGCCTTTCAGTTCAAAGGTGACTTCCAAGCCACGAAAGTCCCCAACACCTTCTCGTCTTGTCACGCAGCAAGGCCCAAAAGAAGAACACTTAATAAGAAACTCCGCACCGTTGATGCAGAGCGCAAACGATTCTTGCCGAACACATCTGCAATGTCAGATGGTCCACGCTTTGTGGCTTGCGCCACATGTGAGTCATACGAGCATGGCCCTCAAACCTCCTGTGTCGGTGACATGCTTCGGATTTATCAGCGCGACACACCCTTTAACCCCGAAACCTACAATCAGGATATCTCACGACAAGAAGCTGGAGTTCTGCAATCACTGCGGCATTGCTGTCCACGGCTATGACCTGACACTGGTATTCGCTCGTCGCTCAGCACAAGCCAAGGGAGCATCAGCCATGGTTCGACCGGGCATGCGCTGCAGCGCTGCAAGTTACTGCCAACCTTCACCGAAAATGAAAAGCTCTGTGTCTGTTGGGAGCAACATTCCACGATGCCGCATATCATGCAACTCTAGAGACTCTAGAGAGGATAGTTGCTGCTCGCGGCAGAGTTTGACCTGGTGAGACGGCGTCACCTACGTCGTCAGTGCTGGTGAAGTGAGATGCTGGACTGGGAATGCAATCAAGATCGTGAATGGGAGTAGGTGTCCGAACCCTGGGATTACTCGTAGGGAAAGTGTCCCCTTGCTTCCTCCCCGAACTCGTCCGATCCAAGCTCACAAGATCTGCTTGGAACCCAAAGTGCCCTACAGGGTCAAACATCCTGAAGCACCCTTGCCTCTAAATTCTGCACCCAGGTGAGCCTTGAACCCCAGGTCCAGTAGAAGCAGCGAGTGCCGCCCCCTTGCCGGCCATTTGGAACAGGTATTTGCCCTTCGGCTTCCCTATGCCAGATACTGAACCGCGAATGCTGTTTTTGCTTCTTTGCCTGGCCTAAATCCTAAGCCCTAAGCCACACACAGCCAAACTTGCAACCACAAGTTGAAGCAGGTGCGAGGTGCTGCGGGCTTTGTGGCGCACATGACCCCGTCCCTGACGCACAACACCCCCTGACCCTGAACCTGACGGATCCACTCATGAACTCCATTCTGAACTCTAAGCAGTCCGTCTTGGGGCCGTGCCTCCCGCAGCCCAGATCCAATGCACGGCCGCCCTTGGGCAGGTAACGGAGGTTGGCCTGCAAGGGCAACTTCAGGGAACTCAAGGGTCGAGGGCAGTGATTCGGGGGTTCAGGGGCCCTCAAGCCTCATCTTCAGGATCTTGCGCTTCGGAAGACCTCATATCTGCACCACCGAATGTAAAAGGCCTGGAATACTCACGATGCCGAAGGAAGGTCGAATGCCAAAGCCGAGGTGTTGCTAATCCAAACCCTTCCCTTACGATTCACCATTTCATACCATTTGGAAAGCAAGGGGATGCTCTTGCTGGCCTCAACCCATGGGGATGCCAAGTACCGGCGCATGGCTTCGCAGAGGGTATCGGTGTTGACATCAGTTGGCTGTTGCAGCTTTCTTCGCATACTGCGAGTGCGTTTGCCGTGTTACACTTCAATGCATGTTCCGCAGAAGCAAATGGAGCCCAATTGCGATGCCTCCTCCAGATGGCATTGAAACCCACGTGTGTCTCTTCATCTTGGTCTGACTGATTCTTAACTGTGCTTGATCTCATGCCAAGCTGGTCGGGGGTTAGTGGTTGTCTAAGGTGCGAAGCTATGAAGCTCTTTCCTGCCAGCACCAAGTACAGCACATAGAAAGTTCTGCGAACAGCGCAAAAACCATGAGGGTGAAAAACAATCACTTGCTTCGATGTAAGCCCCTCAGCACTGCACCTGTTTTCAAAAAGAGACTGCTCCACTCAAACCGGACTCAAACCGAGAATTGTGTGGCATTTGGTGATCTGCCAACCTCTTTACCTCTGAGAAATCTAGCCCAGCACCCTGGACCTGTAAAGCTTAAGGGGTTTCCACCTCCACCCTCAACAGTACTTCGGGCTGCCTGTCCTGTCCGGCCGCATGAACCGAGCCTTGCGCAATCACTGGGAAGTTCGCGGATTTGGGCACTTTGGGGCGCAGGTTTCTTGTAGAAGCATTTAGGATAGGTTTAGGCTTAAGGGTTTAGGATGGTTTTGAGACTTACGCGCTGCGCATGAATCTGGCCTTATGTCTGAAAATTTACAAGCCGCTACACCACCCCGTTCGGTCTGCCTTGTCGAAGAAAAGCTGCACAGACCCGTCGCTGCAGCCACCCACTATCCTGAAGAACCAGGCGAGTGCAAACAGGAAAGTTAAGCCTTAACTCGGCGACATCATCAGCGAGAAGAGCAACAGCTCACATCTCAGAACAAGCAGAACTGACCAGAAGGATTGCCAAGGCTGACTGGGCGCTTCTTGGCGTCAGTGGGCGAGTAGACACAGCAGGTGGGATAGAGGCCACCCTGCCTTGTCAAGTGCAATCACAGCCACTCAGAATCGCCGCAAGCACGTGGGTATGCTGATGAAAGGTTAAATAGTTTTCTTGTCTCCGACTGCCTCCCTGTGTGAAGTGAGATGTGAAAAAGCAGTCAAGTTATAGTCTTTGACCACGGTTGTCCAAGGCCCAAGCGGCTACAGTGCAGTGAGGGGGCCAGAGTGTTTGGGAGAAGGGAAGCGGTTCGGGTTTAAGGTGGTTTGGTTTGGGTATGGTTTCGGTGTTTGTCATGAAACACAGACACCCAAAATGCATGCGCAAACAATGCCAACTGCTTCGGCGCGACGACGGCAGATTCACGTGGCCCAATTGCCTGATAACCCAAAAACACACGACCTCAGAGTGCTGGCACTCAGGAAGATCAAGACCTGTTCGTTTTTGTTTTTTTTGGCCTGCGGCCTTTGAAGAAGCATTGCCTTTGCCTTAGTGAGCAAGATAGAAAAGTGTTCGGACTGGTTGTGATTCTTTCGCTGGGTTTTAACATGGTCTCAGTGTTGTCATGAAAAGACTGGCCCGAATGCACGTACATCCTTCATTGTTCATACGGGAGACAGCTGACTCGCTGCATTTGGGCGCGGGCCAACGCGGTTGCATGTGGTTTTCGAGCCCTTGAGCCTCTGTCTTTTCCAGACAGGGCTGGGTATCTTTCTTTTCATTCTAGGCCCTTTTCGGTTCCTGCGACAGGCCCAAGATTGTTTACAGAGTTTTCAGGGTTCTGTTTCTATACATTAAAACAAAAAATGACGCAGAATCTATGAACCTGGCCAAGTCACTTGCCAGAGCCCCCACCGACGCAGACGTTCCGACGATCCACTGTTTTGAGCCTCAGCTTGACGACTTTTACATATAGGTTAAAGCTGGTCCACGCTTACTTAACCCATCCTGATCCGGCCTCTCGAGTCCCATGTCTCGGTGCCGAAGCGAGAACAAACTTAAAACAGGGCCCATTGGGTTTTGACGTCTGAGTTCCAGCTTTACTCGACTGCCCATCCAAGCGGCACGTGGACTGATGGAAGCTCCTGTCAGCAATATTGAAAGCTCGGTTGTTCGGATTCACGCAACTCAAGGCGAAAAGGTGCTGAATGGCCTCAGGGGCATTCAAGCCTTGACCTTCCTGCAAGAACTTGCCGCCAAAATCATCACAGCTCCTGGTCCATGCCCACGGGATCAGCGGTCCTGAGAAGTCTGGAGCTGCAACTCTGGAGCCAAAATACCAAGCAGAAACCGTGGTCATTGCTTCGCTGAGCTCCTACCCACCACGTTCCTGCGCAGGTCCACCTGTGAAGCCAAGTGGCATGTCCCACATTCGCATGGTGCCGTCCAGAGATGCCGTGAGAAACAGCTCGCTCCTCAAGGTGGCCATCGAGAGAAACTGAGAAACGAGCCTCCCTACTTGTCGGCAGGCTGCGACATCGAGGTCCCATTGCCAGGGCATCACCCGGAACCCTAAACCTTAAACCCTAAACCCTAAACCCTATTCTGCCAAACATCAGCTTCCATGACTTAAATCAAAACTCGCCGAAGACCTTCCGGCAGCTTAGAAAACATTGTCTGCCATTATCGACTTTGCCCTCCGTCCTGAACGGGTGCCACATGCCCGACGTCAGCACCTGATGGGTGGCTTGGTACAGTCGGACATGAAATTCGTCACCAGGGTCTTATCATGTGTATTTTTGCAGAGAGCTACGGAAAGTAGCACTTTCACATGCCCAGCCTGCGTGTGGCCTTTGGTGTGCTCCATCTGGCGGACGTACATATCACCTGCGTGTAGCTTCGGACATGCTCACAAGCAAAAGACCCCTGGACGCGCCAACTAAACACCAATGCCTGAAGACTACACCTCCATGCTGAACCACGAACAGTGGCTAGACACCCATGCAGCAGCTGGGACCCTGGCCCTGAACCGTCTGCTGGATCGGTTTGGAGGAACCTGACTTCATTCAGGTTTGCAGAAAGGAGGAAGGTGCCGTCGGCCGCACTAATCAGGTCGGAATCTCGACGCCCCAGTCCATACGCAAAGGCATGACGAGCCAAAAGCCAGGGAGCCACAAGGCCAGTAAACCAAGAAATCACCCAAAAAACCATGAAACCTGGAAGCCCAGAAGCCAAGAAGCCTCTTTGATATTTGTGCCCTCTGCTGCTGATGTTGGACTGACTCTAGTGTAAGGAGGGTCTATAATCACAAGTTTCCAAAACTATTCTGCGAACCGAGTTTGTTGGAGGTCCCGTTATTATCACAAGTTTTTTCCGGACGTGTTTTTTGTTTTTGTTTTTTTTTTTTTTAAGGGTTTGTGTTTTGGGTTAAGGGCTTACGCAATAAGGCTTGAGGCCCTGAGGGCCTTGGGCTCCAGGAATCTTAAAGAGCCAGAGCCCGGAGAATGCAGAAATCTAAGCCCGGCCAGTTCCATGTGTAAAGCCTTGTGGAATTTCATTACGAAACGAGGCCCCAAGCAAATTTTGGGCCGGTCAGACTGTCTTTAGTAAGTTTGTCTGGTCACCCTCTATAATGGTAATGCTTGAGGCCCTGAGGGCCTTGGGCTCCAGGAATCTTAAAGGCTGGAAAGCTTCAGGCCTTGAGGTCCCAAAGGCTTGAGGCCCTGGGGCCGGGGGGGGGGCAGTACTAAAGACCGTGCAACATTATTGTTGTCAGGAAAGCTTCTTTGTTCTCCGACGTAAACCCCCCAACAAAAAACAAACAAGCCGGTCCCAAAGTTACGAACTGACCTATGCAATCTCCGCAGAAAAGCTTCTTTGCTGTGGAGGTCGCGCCTTGCTGCATGAATGTCACTGGAAAGATCTACAGAACCACACATACACACAGTGCATCGCATTGGGCAGTGGCATTGGCAGTGTTGCCGGATGCCACTGATGCCACAGTACTCCTGGCTAGCTGCTAGCTCCTATCGAAAATTCTATCCTGCAAGCATCGTTTTCTGCATGCAGACCTTGGTCAGCGTGCTGAGCAGTCAAAGATCTTCAAGATTTGAAGAACAAAGGTTCGGCAAACGGGACACCGAGTTAGCCGACGCGAGCAGAGCTGGCACAAGCAGCGATGTCCGCAAGGCACAACGGCATAGTCCGAAGGCCTCTCCATGCAAATCACGCATCCCTCTCCTCTGCCAGAGTCTCCCTTGCGCTCTTGCGCCGGGGTTGCCGCGTTCAGGTCCTGCGCACTGCCCGCGCTGTCCTGGAGCCTGTCCTCACAAGGAGCACCAGAAGCCACCTCCTCGTCGAGGGAATCAGTATCTGGGTCCGACAGCCCGTCGAAGTCGGGGAATTCAACATCGGGCTCAAGAGCATCGCTTGCCGCGGCGTCATGTTGGTCGTCCAGACCTAGAAGCTCATCGAACCAGCTCCTTAGCATGGCCAAGATTACAGCTGTAGCATGTCGCGCAGCTAAAGGCTATACTCGTACACTCAGACTCATCTACCTTGCAGCAATCTTGGGGCTACGAGCCGAGGCAATGGAGAGGAAGGTGAGCGGAAGAACCCTCACGCAAATGGGCAGTGGCTTATACACGGTCTGCACGGACTGCCAAGCCGCTCATCCCGCCAAGGCATCGCTTCTGGCCAGAAGGCGTGGGTATTTCTGGAAGCTCCGGTCATCCCCCCCAAGGGTCCCCCAATGGGCCCCCCAAGATCTCCAGTATCAATATGAAGCGGAGGTGTGCTGGAGCCTGGATGGCTTGGTTGCCGGCTTCGGCTCCGTGACCTGCCCCATGAGCGATTGGAGCGGTTGCGACTCCTTGCACTCACACGTGACCTCACGGAACTACGCCAGCGTGGAGGCGGCAGACTTGGCCGACTGTCCGACCAGCCCTCCAAGTTATCCACCGTCTCCCCATCCCATTGTCCCCAGGGACCCCAAGGGTCAACATAGGGGTCCGGCAGATGACTGGGCAGAGGGGCAGCCCCAGACGGTGATAGGGTTGGTGAAGGTGCCCTCTGGCAGGGAGTGGGTGGGCTGGGGGGGCTGGGGGGGCTCGGGGGGCTTGGCAGACTGGAGGGCGATCCCGGCCAGTCGGGGGTGCGAGGAGCTTGCGCATGTCCCACGGGCCAACTTGGCGCTCCCGAGATTGCCTGCGGAGTTGCTGGAGCCGCCGTGCCAGTCGTCGCCATGAACCCAAGGCTGCTCGGCCACTCCGGTGTCAGGGGCGCAACATCTCCATGAAATCCAGCTACTGTCGGTTCGGCTGCAGGTTCTGTAGGGAAGTCTGGAGTGAGTGGGGCAGTGGAAGTCAGTTGCATAAGTGGCCGCAGCATTGGCGGCGTCACCGGAATCGCCGAGGAGTCAGGATCGGGTGTGCCGGTCTCAAAAGTCTCAAAAGACCTCCATGGCCTCCAAACTTCGGGTGGTGTAGAAGGCACCACGAACGGCGTGGAGGGCACCAATTCCTGGCCACTTAGACCTTCGTGCGCAACCCTCGCAAAGACTTAAGTCCTAGAAATGGCTTGCGCTGGCCGACAAAAATCAGATTAACTTAATCAGGCAAACGTCGATCGGGTTGGTCACCCTGCGTATGCTGGTCGCGCATCAGGAGCTCTGCAGCTGCACGTTCCACGCACCCACCGGTGGCACTCAACGCCCAGGCGGCCTCCTCGGCATTGAAGCCCGCCTCCACAAGGAATGCCACAGCACCATCGTTGTCCACCATCTCCCCCAAATGCGGCAAGCTAAACAACTCTTTACCTTTTTAATGGTTCAGCTGCAATCTTGATTTGGCATGGCAATGTGCTGATGAGGTGCGTCAGTACTGTCCACCCTCCAGATTCACTCTTGCCAATCAGCTTGTATGCTAGGCATAAACCACAGCATGGGTCTGAAATGGTCTGAAGTCCACCTTGAACCACTCGGGCAGACGTCTGTGCTGCCAGATGACTTTGCACCAACAAGCTGCGGTGTGGGAAGGCGTCAATCAACTGTTGCATGCTTCCTTGCCTTGCATGGGCTCACTGTACACCTGATGCCTCCGCCCAAACAGAGGATCCGTGGCTGGCATCTCAGAGGCCGAAATACAGGCAGTAAGAAAAAGACTATTCTTACTGGCGGCAGACCTTACCTGAGCCCTTTCTCTCCAATTGGTGCTCAACTCTCCTCTGTCACGTCCCAGCAGCCGTCACGATCGTAGATACGCGCGTGGATGTCGGCATTAACGACCAGAACCTGGCAGGGCAGCACGCGAGGTGAATGTGCGCAGTGTAGGCTTAGGCGGGCTGTTGAGCTGGGTTCTGCAAGCTCTTCGAGGCTACAAGTTTAGGGTGCCTAGACTGAATCCTGAATCTGACGTTTCGGGCTCCAAACACGAAGCGCTCAAATTTCGTCAAGCAAGCAGCGCAGCTCAAATGCCCGACATACCTTGAGCGTGCAGGAGCGTGCGGTCCTTGAAATGCTCCGCGGTTTGGGTTACTGCAACGTTGTGGAACGTCTGCAATTGAAAGCTCAATTGAAAGCTCTGCTCTCCCACCCCCAAGTCGCTTGATCACAAAACGCGAGGCCTGACCGCCGGTTGTGCTAAACGAAACGGCCTCGGACGGAGAACGCATTTCAGCATGCCTTAACCTGCACCTGGTTGGGCCAACCGACCTTAGAGTCTCGGCTAATTAACCTAAAGGCCGGGACAACTACCGCGTGTACCAGCTTGAAACTCACCGAGTCACGCTTTCAGAGCAAGCTGCAGACTCTGCAGCCGAAGATGAACAAGACAAGCCTCCGCTATCCGGGTGGCCTTAGCCTGAGGCCCACGCATGTGCCATCTTCCCCTCCACGGGCTCTAAGCTCCGAAAAGACTCCTTGCGTGAACAGCTATAACATGTTGTGCCGCGCTTGAGGAACGTGGAGTTTTGGGACGGACAGGAAACGTTCTCGTGGACTAGAGTCATCAAGCCGCGTTCATCACACAGTGGAGGGGAAGGAGTTATTCAGAACTCGGACTGTCGAGTTCGGCTCAACTTGTGGCACACGCAAACGAGATGAGGCAGTTGAATCGAGGCAGAAGGAAGCAAACCAAATGCAGTTTCCTGAAGGTTGGACACAGGCTCGATTTCCAATTTCCAAGCGACTTACACCTTCAGATGCGCAGCCTCTTTGCTTCAGCTGACCTCTTTTGCTTCGCTGCTTCACCGGCTACTGGCCTTCGCCTCGGACATCCCGTGGAAGTCGTAGAACTTGTACATTCCGTCCAGGCTTCCTGGCTTTGATCAGAGAACAGCGTCCATGAGTGCTTTGTTTGAGGGTTCAGTTCATCGAGCAGGGATCCGACCCCAACCCTGACAGTAAAACCTACCAAAACCCCACTAAAACCACTGAAGCACCCCTATTTTGTTTACGTAAACCCGAAACCGATAACCCTGCACCCTCAACCGCTAAACCTCAAACCTTCATGAGGGCCCGCCACCCCGAAGCACTGGGCCGGGTTTTTGGATGTTACGTCCAGGCACCGGTTTCTGTAGCGAGCCGAGGTTGGTTTCTGATTTCTCTATTTGTCCCTGGGGTTTCCCGATTTTCTGCCGTTGATTTTTCGGCCGGTTCCCTACATTTTCCCTACATTTTCCCGACTTTCGGCCGTTTCCCTACATCTTCCCTGCGTTTTCCCTAGTTTATCCCTGCTTTTTTCCTACGTTTTCCCGATTTGGGGCCGCTGACTTTTTAGCCGGCCCCTACATGTTTTCTACGTTTTTCCGGTTTTCTGCCGCTGATTTTCGGCCAGCTCCTACGTTTTCCCTATCTATCCCTGCGTTTCCCCGATTTTCTGCCGCTGATGTTTCGGCCGGTTCCCTACATTTTCCCTATGAATTCCCGATGTTCCCTACAAAGGTTCTGGGTTTTCCTATGTTTGTTCCCTCCAATCTTGGAGCGGGATTTTGGTGGGATTTTTCAGGGTTTCCAACAGAACATGGTCAAGGCAAAGAACCCCCGAACAACGAAGCACCAACGACGATTCTAAGATTTGACTGTGCACACCTCCCTGAAAGAACTCCTACTATAAGCCTCTCTCTTTACAACTTGTTTTTCATTGGTCTTTGCGCCCCGCGGAAATCCGACCGCTCTCAACAACCTAGCCAAAGCCACCCGACAGCCCATCGAGAGCCCACGAGTACCAAAGTCGAGACTAGTCATGCTAAGGTGGGGCGATCTGGAGCCTGCAATCATCCGGGAGCCCTTGGGATCGAGACCTGGCAGCGGAGGCCAAGGTTTTCAGAGGCTCATAGTCGGGCTGTGGCCCTTGGGGCACATGGAGTGAAGATGGCGAAAACTGGCTTAAGATGCTCAGAGCCTTGGCAGTCGAAGATGGTTCAGCGCATGTGCTTTCAAATTTTGAAGGGTCCGGTCATGTGGTGCGCTTGACGACAAGAGCCCATCCAAACGAAATGGCTACAAATGGTTCTGGCTTCGTGCGTCTTCTTGGTTCTTGGGCTCAGGGATGTGGAGTCCTTGTGGTTCCTTGGCTTTTGGGGCCCGTTGGATGTACAGTGGCTGTGGTCCGCTGGTCAGACAAAGCTTGATAAAGCTTAACTCCCGCACCATGGACGTCCCATGTTCTAGCGCAATGGCGTTAGGAGGCGAAGCGCTGTCCCTCAAAACTTGTTGCACAAAAGTCCGATCAAAGGCTGCAAGCTCCATCTAAACTTTTGGAAGAATCCAGCTCCAGCCTACAGCCGTCACTGCTTTGTCCTCAGCTGGACAATCGCAAGATTCCAATTCATTTCAGGTCAACAGCTTCGGGACTTAGCATAGGCTAGCCTGAATCAAGGTGCAATATATAAGTGTTGGGCATCAAATAGAGAATAGCACCTAACTCTCCGGGGTATCGTGATGCTGTCATGGCGCCTCGCCACCTTCACTTACTTTGTTGGGCCAACTATGAAGGTTGAGGAGTTTGCGGTCTGGGGCTTATTGCATCGATATCCGAGTAGCGTGGCAAGGGATGTCCACCTCATGGCTGAGGGGTAGGAGCTCGTTCTCCTGGCTCAGACGATGCACAAGCATGGGGGAGTGCAAAACTGAACGTTTTATGCAGCAAGCTTCCAACCTCTTGCTTGCTTGAAGACTTGAAGGCTTCCGTCTGCACCGGTTTGCACATGCTGAAACTAAAGGTCATCGAGCCGGAGGCTGCTGAAGACCCGCCGGCTAGTGCAAACATTCCAGCTATTGAAGCCCGCTAAGACCAAGTGCTGCACCTCAACTCCGCGCATCGCACATGTCACACGTGTGCTACAGCCTTAACTCAACAAACTGCAGACAAGTCTCCTTGCCGGGCTCCGGCAGCTCATCTGGCTCTTCAACTGCACCAGGCTTCAGAAGCACAGAAACCGTGAAACCAAGCGGTTTCGGGTTCAAGAGTTGGATCCCTTCACCCGCCGGCTGCCTTAAACCTGAGCCTTGGATCAGCTTCAGGAAGATCTTTGAAGACAGGCGACTCCAAGTCGATGCCTAAATCCCGAAACCCGATCTGCTTAAGGTCAGCTAGCTTTGCAACGTGGGGGAGCTATGTTCTAGCTAAGTCTTCGGCACCGCCAGGCACTCCTCGTCACAAGCTAACGGAGCTAATTACTACCCAAACCCAAAGCGCCGCCTGGAGCAGGGGCGCGCTGCTTTTGCTTTGGCTGCGTCACCAAGGGCCCTATGCGAGAGTCCTGCCCAGGAGCTCGACAGTTTGTTGTTGAGTGTCGGGTTCGCGGTTGGGTTTTCTTTCGTTCGTGGTCTTCGGTTTGCATTTATTGGGGTTGAGCAGCTTCGGTTGCTTTGCCTTTCTACGACAAAGGGTAACCATCAAAGTGCTGACAACTTCTTAAGCTTCAAATTGCAACTGTGCTGACAAGATGGGTGCAATGCGGCGTCCTGTCTGTAAGTTCTGCGAGCCACGTTTCAGACATACATCCTCGCGCACCTTGTGTGTCGCGCTGGCCATAAGCTCTTGAAGGGTCTCTCCAAACATGTCGATCAACGGCACCAATTAGGTGATCGTGCCGGTGGACATGTCACTTCTGCCTGTGTGCAGGGTGTGTGTACCCCCTCAGATAGACCTTGGCAGCTGTAGCCTCTGTGCACAGTCCCTCAACAGAACTCAAATCAAGATAGCCTGGCCCCCTGACGACCTCCAACGCCTCCAAAAGCTGAGGCGTAATGGCCCCAACCTCGACTGCGAACCCTAAATTCCAGATCCGGAGACCTTAAGGACACAAAGCACAGACAACTCTCTACTCCTCCTCGTCTTCTTCAGCTTCCTCGGCCTGTGCAGCCTCGATGGCAGCCTGCTTTCATTCTCAGCGCCATCTCTGACATAGCCAAACGGTTTGTGGCTTGGGACTTAATTAAAAGTTAAGCAGCCCCTGGGCTTCCGGATTCAACATTCAGGCTCGGTCTCGCTTGCTTTGAGCGCCGGTCTCTCTCCTTTCTCCCGACGCACCGCATCGGAACTTTGTCGGAGATGGGACGCACGTGCCAAGGCTTTCACGGGATCCCTATCTGCGACAGCCACTCAGGGAACTAAGGATTCAAGATTGCGCTCTGTTGTACCTCTTGCCAAACCAGGCCAAAATCCCAACTGCAAGCTCCAAAATCACACCTTTTCAGGCCACGCCTTGTTGAGGCGGGCCGTGGCACCTGCGACGGAGGCCTGACCAAACTTGCAAGGGAATCATGGAGTGCTCAAGGTTTCGGATTTAGCGATTTGACCTTCGTTTTCATAAGTTCTTGCTTTGGAAGCATTACAGGCAACTTCAACTTAAGCTCAGCATCATACGACATAACATTCCAAAGACCACCCCCCCAAAAGAACACCCCCGACAAAATCTCTTTGACACCCACTGTAGATCGCCGGGTCGCTGCATCCTTCGTGCGGTGCCCAAACTGAACGCCACCGGGCTTCGAAGCTTTGTCCTGCCCTGACGAAACACCGCTCGCATGAGGCACTCTTTGGGGTCCCCTTAAGCAATCTACGACCAACCCGGTTTCCCCAACGAGCTAAGATGCTCTGAAGCATCATGTCCTGCTGGTTGCCCACCCCCCCTCTCACCATGAGATCATGCGGGCCAGGGAGGTCGCAAAACCTGTTGTCGCAAGCTTGGGCTTCTTGAGTGACATTTGTGCTACAGTTGTGCTACCATCCTAAAGCTATGAGAACACGATGGCGAGACGTAAACAGATAGCAAAAGGACTGAAACATGATCAACAATATCTCAAAAGCTGGAGGCAACATGAAACGGAAATTCGCGCCCTGCTGGCTCGCTCCCATGCTCCCCTCAACCTACAAGTCTCAACAAGACGGCGTCTACAAGTTGTCCTACCACCACCTAGTCACCTAGTCCATGGCCATCAGGACTTGAGCCCTGCTTGTGTAAAATATCAGTTGCGGAGATAACCGCCGCAGGAGTTGACATCATGCCAGCGACAACAGAAAACAGCCTCCGAAGCCTACAGTTCGAAAGCCCTGAGGGTTTCAGAACTACTTCCCAGGGTGAGGTTTGGGTTTCCTATGAGGGTTGGCACTGTGGATACTTTCAGGAGATGGCTGGCCACGAAGACCCCAAACAGAGCAGGGGTCTGCTCACGAGATTTGGATCTTTGCCTGGGGTTGCTGGGCCTTAACCTGAACCCGAAAGGCAAACCCTCCTGACATAACCTGAACCCAGAGCTAAAGCCCAGAACCAAGAGTCGACCCGAGCCCAAAGTCCTCGGCCTTTCTGCGACCGCTGCGTGGCATTGTGGGCTTCGGGCCCAGCCTCAAGATTGGGAATCTCTTCTTTCTAAGGCAGCCTAAGTTTCAACATCCCCGAAGCTCTGCATGCTCCCGGTAGCACGGCAACTGCACTTAGCCCCGTGCATGCCGTACCGGCTTCTGCTTGCCGAAAGACCTCAGAAAATTCCCTAAGTTCGAGAAGAGGGCTTCACACTTCCTCCAGGCCTTTTCACAAGCGACGGCTGAAGGCAAAAAAAAACGACAAGGAGCTAAACAAGCCCTTTTTGCAACCCAACAAAGGTTCAGGCCGCTGTTAACGCCCTCCATCGCGATTCCGCAGTGATACATCATGCCAGGGCACAGGGGCATGTTGAAGCCCTTCATCTCCGCCGCCTCCGCGGGCATCTCGGTGTCGGAGCCCTCCTCACCTGTTTACATTTCGACACTTACAGTAGGCCCAGGTCCTCAGGTTGTCTTGAGTCCAGAAGGAGTCCAGGATGGTTCAGGACCGAAGAAACTCTCCGAAGTGTAAACCTTGGTTTGTCCCGAATGTCTGACAAGCAATGACAGTCTGGAGCCTAGAGGGTCGAGAGGAATGAGTCTGCGGAGCATGTGCCTGCCATCTTCGAAGGGAAGCTGTTGGCCTGTGCAACACAAGCACGACAGTGACTACAGAATTCCAGACCTGTAGCTTGGTGTCGAATCTGACACCTACAGACAAGAAGGCAGAGAATTCACTTGCACTTATTTCCAGGGCCAAATTCCAGAGTGCGAAGGGAGTGCAGCGCAAGGAGTGGAAGCCAAATGCATTCATCAACACCAAACTCGGCTTGTTGAAGAGCTGCAGGAGCCCAATTGCCTGGACCCGAAGGATGTGCCACCCCCCAACCTCGAACCCTCACATGCAAAACATCGAGCCCGCAGCCCTAAACCATACACTGGCTGCTTCTGCCTGTCCGAGCTCCTCCTGGCTCTCCTCTGCGGGCGCCGGCGTTGCCTTTCGTGTGGGGCCGGTGTACCTCCGAGCACTCATGGGTTTCTGGGGCTGTAGAGGTTTAGGGCTTGTGGGTTTCAAGTGCGCACCTTGGGGTTTGGTTTCATTCTTACTTTGAAGGTCGTGTTCAATCATCTCGTGGTCGGGAATGCAGGCATGGCCCCCGGTAACTTCCTCTCGCAAACACCGAAGCCGTTACCATGAAAGCTCGTGAGAAACAACTGTAATTAGGGGAATTCGGCAGAATCGGGGTAAGCAGGAGTGAACGGCGCAGCCGATCTTTTCATAGCTTGCCAGCTCTGTGCGACTAATCCGACTTGAGCCACCGTGTTGGCGGCGCAGCTCATGCCCGTCATGTGTTAGCAGCAATACGTCTAAACCTCGCTTGCGCTATGTAAACTCTTTCTTGAGGCACTGGCACCAAACTCTCTATGACCCTGTGCCCTCGTTTCTGTCCAGTCCAATCAGGAATTCTCCAAACCCATCCAAGTCCAAAAAATGCCTATTCTTTTGCATCGAGCGCTGCTGGGGACAATGCCTGGCAAGAGCTGCCACTCAAGCACCACATCCTCCACAAAATCAAGGATCCTAGTCGACAAGTCAGCTGCTGGTCTGCTTTGCAGAGCTCTTCGCGGAGCTTGTCGCGAGGACATAACTGACAACCCCAGCCGTGACGATGAGCAGTGACCTTCGCTGGCCAGTTGATGCCAAGCAACATGCCGGGAGTACCCTTGTAAGTTTCAAGTCGTGACATGCAAGTAATAATAATAATGATAATAATAATAATATGCAATTGGCTTCACGGCGCCGGGGATGGATCCCGCAGGTTGCCTTTTGAAATGAGACGGCTGAGCCTCGGGCAGGCCCTTCGCCAAGGAGAAACACTGCGATTCATCTTGCCTGCGGTTTCATGCGGCTTCGGCACCCCATGAGCCTGAGACCCATGTTCAACGCCAAAACCTTACATACAATGGGGCACAAGGGCAATAACAAATGACATAAACGCCAAGCTGCACTTGGCAGTTCTTCAGCTGTATGTCTGGACAAACGGCAACTGCTCTAGCCAAAATTCTACTTCAAGTTCTCTGCTGAACCACTTTGAACCTCAGGATTCCACGACTTGGAGCCCTAACCTCCCTAAGGCGCAAAGCTGAATAGCAAGGGCTCACCAAAGAAGGTCTCCTGACTCAAAAGGCAACACTTAAGAACGGATGGTCCTGCAATAGAGCACGTGGGAGAGCGCGAAGACCACGACGCCCTGCAGGGCCTTGGCCATGCCTGTCGACACGGCGCCAACCTCATGGGGTTCGAAGGATCAGATTTCCAGGTATGAGCTTGATACTGTTTCTTAGACATGTCTAAAAATAGTATCCGATCTCCAAGTATGAGCTGGAAAAGGCGTTCCGTGCTAGCCGCATGCACGAAAAATGGGACAACTTAAGGTTTCAGAATTTAGGCGGGGGATGTACCGAAACATGGGCTCATGGGAGGCAGGGCAACCACCCCCTGAGTCTCGACCTTCCAAGATGTCCCAAGATCCTGAGAACCTCTGAAGCCCCAAACTCCAAACCCTCCCGAAGCTTCGGCACCCGGGTCAGCAGGTAGAAGAAGGTTCCAGCCTCAGCTGCTGCAAGTGCCAGCGACTTTGGTGGCCATGTTGGGCTTTGCCAGTATAGGATTCACCGAAAAATGACATGCTGCGGCACAGGGCGCGTGCACAAAGTTCCCCAGCGCCACTGAAGAAAGAAGCAGTGAGGCTTGCAGCCAGGATGTCCCAATCTCGGAGGATTAGGGATGGACTCAGGTGTTCGTGACCTATTACAAGCCCTGGGCCTAGCGATTCAAGCAGCAGTAGCTGTGGTGGTAGTAGGCGTGCTGCAATCGGCAGGCCGGTAGGGCACTAACGCTAACCAATGGCAGTGCGTGGTGAAGCTCGGATGTAATGCCAGCCAGGCAGGGTACACAATAATGACGTGGCATGCTCATCATGACCATTGTCCACCGTCATCAACTTTAGGTCTTTGCTAGCTTCTTCGCCGACACGGTCATGGCATACCATAACAACTTCTCAATGACAATGATTAGACTGCTGCTTGTCCAAGTCCCTGCTCAACCCCTGAGCGGAAAATGCAGGCCTAAACCCAGAATCTCTTGAACTTAGCCCACGCTGCATGCGGCACAAGACTACCGCCACCTCCTCCATGGGTTCTGATATCCGCTGCCAGTGTGAAGCTGTGAAAGCCAGCTGCCAAACTCCTGTGAGCGAGAGAAACAAAGGCACGAGAAACCGCCGCAAAATCTGTCTTTGCTCAGGTTGTTCACTGTCCTTGTCTTTGTTTGTCTTTTTTTCCTCTCGTTCGCTATTCCATGCCTTCGTGCATTTCTTGGCCAGTCAGTCTAATATGGAACGAAGGAAGGAGCAAGGAGAAGATACCATGGGAGAAATAGAGTCGATCTTTAGAAGCGATTCGCCCAGCCGCAGTTTCTACCTCATGGTCCATGTCACACATTCACCTTATTTCCTCTCCCAAGTAGTACCAATGATTGTCGAGTCTCTGTTCGCACGCTAGCCCCAGAAAGACCCAGCAAATATTATGGGCTCCCGGGAATCACATTGCTCTTTCCTCACAGCCTGACCTTCGATATCCTGGATTCAGCAGAAATGAAGAGCCCAGGAAACACGAAAGGCTCGGGGAGCGAGGGTCACAAGTCATAAGGTAGTGATGGAGGCGTCTGGAATGGTGCATCAGGTAACAGCTTCTGGGCGCCCTCATCAAAGCTCTCTCTCTCTCTCTCTCTCTCTCTCACAGGCAAGGCAGCTCCAAGCTCCGTCTCGCAGAGACGCCTTCGGTGGCCACTGTACACACTGTGGAAGCTCTGCGGACTCTTGATCTGCCAACAGCCCAGGATAGAGGCAATACTGATGGAAAAAGAGAGTGAGAGAAACTGACTTCATTACAAGTCATAATGCATGAACTTAATGTGTGAATGAGCCAAAAGCCCAAAATCCATTTTCTCCCTTCGCTACTATCGCTACTGACTTCAGATCGTTGATGGGTTTGCAGGCTGCCAAGGGTATAGTCTACCCAACCGTCCTATGCGATCACCAGAACAAGCCCAAGCCGGGTCCTACCACGGCACAGCCAGTAAGGCCCTGGATCGAGGCATTCAAATGGGCCGGGATCCTGCGTGCAACAGGGGCTTAAAGCCCCCTTTACTATCATGATGATTATTCTTACTATTGTTGTTACTATTATTATTTTGCGACTATTATTCTTCAAGTATTATTCCTACTAGTATGATTACAGGCGCTGGGCTCGGGGCTGCCAGGACTCGGGAGGCCAATGGAGTGAAAGCTGTCGGCTATCGGCTGCGGAAATACCTGCAACACCCCTGTTGGCGTCTACGAGTCCTGGATCCTCGGACGGATAGCATCTCCGACAGGACATGGCAAGTGGCATGGAGTATCGTACCTGCAAGCGCGCAATCTGTGAGAGCCTGTCTTCGATACTCCCAAAGAAGAGGCGGTTGCTCCAAACTCCAGGCTCGCTACCTTCCGTTAAGTAAAGCTTTCTAGAAACTGTGGGAAGCGTTCCAAAGTCAAGGACCCTTAGTGTGGACAATCGCTCTTTACTGTCCCAAGACCCTGGCTGAGGGTTTGCTTCGTACTTGTGTCGTGGGTGCAGGATGAATGCGCCCAGAAGTGGGCATCATAAAACCTACCAGTGAAAAGACTCTCAATACACAGGCAGTTGACGTCTAGGCACAAACCCAGCTCCAGATGCTTCAGTTCAAAAGAGCCCAAAGCATTCCACGACACATTGATGGGCTGCACTAACCGGCCCACCTGCACCAATCATGCAGGTGCCGAGAAAAATGCAGTCACCAGTGCTCCTTCGTTTTATGATGGTGTCGCACAAGGTATCTCAGAATCGCCGATGTTCATGAAGCACCAGGACGTCTGCAAGCAATGGGCCCTGACTGATTTAGGAAACGCACGCGTGCTGGTTCTCACGTCTGCGCCGTCGTTCACATACTTTTGTCACTTCTAGTTACTAGTCAAGGCATACCCTTACCCATTTTTACAGGGCGGCCGCGGAGGGCGGGGGTGAAAACATTGTCTGACACTGCAATGGCGGTGTTGGCTGCGTTGTCTCCCGATGCTGCCTTGCAGTTGAAAGCCAAATTCATGAGCCCTGACACAGGACCATGAAGCGGAATTCGCCCCTGGTGCCGAATTAGCCCCTGACACCGCATTGTGAAACCTCATTAGCCCTTGTCGGCGTCGTGCCACTGCACGATGCTGAACCCGCAGCATTGCCCTGGGACTAGCATTCCGCGCCCCTCGCAAACATTACGTGGGACTGTGATTGAGTGCCGGCACCTGCGAAACCTGGCACTCGACATAGCCCAGACACGGGCATGGAGGATGATAGCCAAGTAGACCCTTTAAAATGTTTGTAGCCAAGCCTATTAGCCGCCTTGAATCGCGCATGCGGTCCTTGTGAGAGGTGCCTTACGTCTGCACCCAGCCTTGTCCTCGCAATACGGCCTCGCAATGCGTCTCCTCCTAATTCGGCTTCGCCTACTTTGGCCCCTTTAAGCATGCGGCTTCGCAAAGCGGCTTCGGCTCCAGGTCGTTTCAACCCCCCACTGGCCGCAATGGCTTTTACATGCGTTGGTAAAGAGGACCTAAACAGGACTAGTAAGCCAATCCTTTACTTCACGCAGAAGCTGCTCCTGAAAGACTGAAATATTGGCCGTCAAGGTCCCTCTGTCTTTACTTCACTCTGTTCCAATTTATGTTCCTGTTTGTTCCTTCACACTGGGCAACGAACCCCTGGACTGACCCAGTGAGCCACAGCACATGCTGTTGGTTGATGAGACTACTGGGAGATTCGTGTACCAAACCAAAACTTCGCCCACGCTCCTGGCATCCACACCAGTGACAGCCAAGCCAGCGAATACGGCAATGATGCTCAGCCACTGCCACAGTGTCAGCACACGCCTGCAGAGGCGGCGTAGAACGGGATCTTACAACTCCCAGAAAGCCTTCAGGTTTAGCGTTCAGCCTTCGAGAGATACTCAGGGTTCAGAAGTTTGGACTTCAATTTCGGTGGTTGCCCATGAATGTTTGCCGCCGAGCCGCTGCAGGAGCAACCAGGAAAGGACCGCGGACCAAATGGTCACGGAGGCATAAACGACGGCGAAAACAGAGCTACCGGCCTGAGTATGGTCGCACTGGCTCAGGACTACATTTCTGTCTTCTTCTGAAGAGCTAGCTCAGGATCGTCTGCGGGAGGACATGGCATGGGACACCGACGAAAAGGGCGTTTCAACGCATTGCAGCATGCGCGTGCTTCGCGATGTTTAGTCCGGAACGCTAGATCGCTGAAAAAAACAAGTTGGCAGCTGTTGAGCGGGGTGCGCTGTGTCGAACTTAATTACTTGTGTCATCTTGTGTCTGTATTTCGGCAGCCTCACGTTGCCTTGCCTGCATCATTGTTCTCAGGTTTGGGCCCCTGTGTCATTCAAGGCTTAGGGCTTCCGGCGATTAGGCGGGAAGCTTACGATTAAGGCTGTCACGTGGGTTCGAGGTCTGTATGGTTCACGGTTTGGGGCTCTCGGGTATGTGCCCAAGCCCTGAACCCCGCAAAGAGATCGGTGGGTTCAGCATCCAAATCTTAAATGCTTCTCCAAAGTGCCAGCATGTTGCCGGTCCAATTCCTGGGCTGGTTCTTGAATGTGATGAGTCTGGCAGGCTGCAGCAGGAACCCAAACTCAGAACTCTCCGGACATTGGGCTAGCATGACACAAGTTTGGCTTGGGTGGCCCAAGGCACATCACGCTGAAGGGTCTCAGAGAGGGCGGAACTGCAACTGTGCAACTTTGGCACTCAGAATTGCAACTTGGACGACGTGGCAAACATGTCTGGAGTCCTTCACGGGCTTTTGCGGAATCCAAGCATCAGGCTCTGCGCGGAGATGCCGAAAAGCGCCTTTCTTTTCGGCAGTGGAATGCTGCGCTTGGTCTGTTAAGAGTCAGTTCGGTTCGAAACCTTTCGCCAGCTGTTGGCTTCATCTGTCTGAAGACTATCGGTCATCTTCCTGCAAGATGTTATTGACTGCTGCCAGCAGACGTTTCGTCTCGGCGTATGGAATGATGAGAACTCTTCCGGCTCTTTGACCAAGATGCTACACCAGAGCAGCTTGCGAGCTGCGGCCAGCTAAAGCTCCCAGGTCCCTGGAGCACTCCCCGGAACACTGGGCGCAACTAGCTTATAGGGCCAAAAAGAAAGGTAGAACACAGAGTCACAGATGTGGGGTGTGCCCTAATTGGGTGCCCTATGCGCAACTCGGACATGCAAAAGGCATGACATTCAGGGCGTGTCAGGGCTTGCAAGTGTAAGGGTTCTGGCATCGCTGTTGTTTCCGCCTGAACCTGGGCACTATTGCCCCGAGTCTTGAACTTGCCGAAGAAGTGAAGCAAGCCGGTGCAAGCCATGCCCGTATAGTAGGGCACCTGGCTTTGCTAAAGACTTTGGGTTCGATGGGCCTGAACCCCAAACCCCCTATGCTCTTGCTTCTCAATGTCTAACAAACCATGACTTGCCAACATCACAAAGGAAAATCAAACATGCGGCTGTTGTTTTTGCATTGGTTTTTGTTCCTCTTGTCGGCTTGTCTCTTGTTTGCTGCTTTTGTCGTTTGTTTGTTGTTTGTTCGTTTCTCTCTTTTGGTTGTTATTTCCCTACATCACTGCACGGGTTTCTTGTTTTGCTGTCTGCATCCCGCGCTCCCTCCCTCCGCTCCCTCCCTCCCTCCCTTCTCCCCCTCCTCCCCCCGCGCCTCCGCCTCCCGCGCCTCCGCCTCCCGCGCCGCCGCGCCGCCTCCCGCCGCCGCCACACCGTACGCTCACACCGCAGTCACACCACACCGCGCGACACTGCTCGCGCACCGCACCGCATAGACCGCGTCTGGACCGCACCGCGCTTTTTCGTACTCCGTGGTGCGACTTGGATGGCTTTTGTGCTTTGTCGGTTTGGAAGGTTTGATTGATGAGACTATGAGAAATGGGGTGAAGACGTTGGGGGGGGGGGGGGGTATACGGATGGAGTGTGAGGTGTGCGGTCAGCCTATGCTTGCTCCTAAAGGCGCGTACAACCGCAGAACCCATAGCAGTATTAGAATTGTCCTGCAGAAGGGCGATTTGAAAGGGAAGGGGAACACAAAGCACCTGCACCTTATCCATTCTATATCCAATCTCCTATAATGAGGTCTGGGGTCAGCGACCCTACCCACCCCAACGTTATAACCCTGTCCTTTGAATGCCACGACATAGAACTACAATTATGATGAAAAACAGTTATTGTTGTATGGCATGTTCTTCTTGTTGCTTGTCTCGCCTCATACTGCAAGCATCGTACAGCCGCAAACGAGCCTAGCCCTTTCTAAGGCTTAGAGGGCTTCATCCAAAGCAACCATGCCATACCAAACCTCGAATCTGAACAGCACGCGGTCCCTTGCCGCCGGGGGGGCACCATGTAAAACTGACAGCGGGGGTCTCCCAATCCTGCTCGTCTGAGCTCGGACATGAAAAGCCTCTTCAATGCTCGGGGTTGGGATGTTCCCCCTTATACAAAGAGTCCTGAATAGGGATTATAGTAGGGAGTACTAAAATCCCTAATTATTACGGTCTGTTAGTATAGGGGGATGCGTGTGAAGTGCAGTCCAAGCTAGGGTGTTTTGAGGGTAGCAGGTGACCGCCAAGCTGGGTTGCAATGCAGGTTTGTTGGTGGGGCGTGCAGAAGAAGAAAACATGGGCTCTACTTCACTTTTCAGGTGAAGCACCAGATCAGACCTCGCACAAACAAAACACCAACGCATCAGAAGCAGTGCTTGCAATCACACTGTCCCCCACCCTCCAGTCCCTCCTCCTGTCCCGATAAAGTCAAGGTGGCTTCAAGGCTTCAAGCGCTTCCACTCTCAACATCCAGCACTTTTGCACGTCTTGGCATGTGCGCGGTGGGCAGTCTCCGTAGAGCTTGAGCCCCCAAAGTCACATCCGAGCAGCGGCTGGGACACTCCCGAAGCAACCTCTGAAGAGATTGGGAGGAGGAGCTCAGTTTGTAACATTTCGAAGAATCCTGTCTCGATGACTCAAAACCCCTGAAGCCCGGCAGCCGCGATGGCAAGAGCGACAATCGCAACGACAAATGCCAATTCCGGGACAATCAATACCCCCAGCCCCAGATCTCAACACCTTCTCTCCTATAGACCTTCTGTGCAACCAATCTTGCAGCGCCTTATGACTGCATGCTGTTATAATGCATAAATGTATAAGCACAACCTTGATGCCCAGCGGAGGCCGGGCAACGTAGGCACCCAAGGCCACACCCAGCGCCGTGCGCCCAGGCGGCCCAGGCGCAGCTCGGGGAATCAAGGGGGTAGCCAGCGCCATAGTCGTTGGTGGAAGGCCCGCAGTATCACGCAGTATGCTACACATTCAAGACTTGAACGGGTGCAGGGTTTGGGGAGTGATTGTGCAGAACATGCCTGCCTTCTGAAACCACACAGTATGACGGCGGCCATTAGGCCTCTGTGTCGTAAGGGCTTGCGGTGTTTCTCAGAAGCTGGGTGATTGTGATTGCCTATGCTCTGCAAAGTTGAAAAGTTGCTGTGAGTATGCTGTCGCAAACACAAAAGCAATGGTTGAGATGTTGTTGAACAAGCGTTGCTGTACAATGCTTTGAGCCGTACGAGACGTACAGTAGCAGCACGCAGCAGCGGCGGCGGCGGCGCAAACCGAACACCCTGAGAAGATCCCCGGAGTTGTCTGAACCTGCACGTGTTCAATCCTTCCCACAGCCCTAACCAAGCCCTGAAGCGGCACCGCTTGGAGCCTCTCATGGCCTTCATCTCCTGCACGGGGATGTGTGTGTTGGGGGCTGGGGGGGGGGCTTGGGGATAGAGCGCGTAGGTGTTAGCCATTCTTCTATCCGAAAGTTGCTCCTTCTGCAAGGGGTGTCTCTAAGCATTACAGGGCACACGCCTCTTCGTCGGAGTCCATGATGACAGGAGGCCCCGAGTTGGCAATCCGAGATCTCAAAGAGGGGGCCTATGGACCCTAAAGCAAGATGGCGAACTTTCTTTAACTGCTCCATCTGATGCTCAGTGTGCTGGCCAGTGGCAAGAGTGAGCCCAGGAAGGGCTGCTTGTGGCAGTTGTCACATGCTCAGGTTCGGGGTAAAGCTACCACACACTGAGCTGTTCAGGGGAATTCGTGGCAAGTAGGCTCTGTCTCTTCTTTGTGTGGCACCATGGTCCTACATGCCTGGATCTTAAACACTGCAGAGGAGCGAGGGATTTATCGAAACAGCTCGGGCATCGCAGAATCCGGTGCATTTCTTGGTTTGCCCCAGTTTCTCTCTCGCAAGTGTCTGGCTGCCATGGACGGGAGAGGATGCAGCAAGGGCCTCGAAGGTGTTTCCGAGATTCTGGGATGTGAATTACAAGGAACTTCGCGTATGGGCCCTTCCTGATTGAGGCCCTTACGCTGATCGCCCAAGCCGCTTGGAACTGGAATGGCGCCCACGGCCAGAAAACTGTTGTTCGCTGACATGACCGTGGACAGATGTGGCATGCTCAAAGAAGCAGAAAATGGATGTCACGCAACTGGTCCCGAGTGCGTGCCCTGGGGGCAACACCCACACGAATCGGAACGAAGAACAGATGTCACGCATCTGTCGACCCTCCATGGGGCGACAGACGCTTCGGGCATCTGGGCACAGCAGAGAGGTAAGGGACTTCTCACACTTCTGCATACGTTTGTCAAACCCGACACTTAAACGACACTTGAAGTCAAGAGCCTCAATCTCTAGCTGGATGTGACTATGGGAAGAATGGAAGGATTGCATTCTGGGCTCAGGGCTTATGACGCCTTGTGAGCTTGGAACTATTGCCCCCTCGCGCCCCTCCTGACCCAGCCAGAAAAGTGTATGTACACAAGGGCCGGATTCGAAACCGTGAACTGTCACCCTGGTGTTATGTGCAAAGGGCTAGCTCAAGGCCTTCCTTGCTAGCCTGCGTCACTCGCACTTCGACCTTCTGACCTGAGTGGGCGGCTCAATGCGTTGGGTGCCGAGTTTTTGGGTGCGCGCTCGCCCCTGGAGCTGTAGGACCTCTTATGTACAGGAGTGTTGGGATGGTCACATCTCTAAATCTCAGCCGGCTTCTGCTGCAGGCTCCCACCTTCTTCCAGTAGTTCAACAGTCATCGCACTCCCCAGCTCATCCTCCACCAACGCCAGGAACTCCTGATTCAGAGCATCGGCCCTGGCTACAACATGGATCGGTTCGAGGGCCTGCCTAAACCCTCCTTGTCTACCTGCTCTGAGTGATTTTCCGAAGCTGTCCTTGGGAATTTCCTTCACCTTCTCTTGCATGGACAAAAACAGGCGCTCGTCGGTCACATCCCAGACGCGCACCTTCTAGGGATGAGCAGGGCTTCGAAAACCTTCAGCTTGAGGCTACTCGGAGCAACATTTGAAGAGCAGCCTTTTGGCCACCTGCCTAACAAACCCGAACAAAACCACGTTCTCGGCTGGAGATCCCAGGTGCCAAAACGATCCCAAAGCTCGAAGAACTTTAATTACCAGCTCCTCAGGACGTCTGGGCCTTGTCTGCTTCTTTGCAAACCCAACAGCTTTGACAGGACCTGCAAAACCTGAATAACACAACCTCCCGTACAGCCGTACAGCCCGAACTCCCAAAACCCAACTTTTCCTGAAACCTAAAGTCTCAACCCGGAGCACGACCAAGCACTCCCAAACAGATCCCAGGCCTTGATCTTCTTGTCGACGGCCAGGTCTTGGGCGCGCTCCATATGCGCCTGAAGCCGGGCTCGTGGACCAGCGTGCGCTGAGTGGTGGGTGACTTCGGTCCGGGCCAGAGGTCTTGGCGCTGAAGGCTTGGTACTCGGTTCCGGGTTGGGTTCTGGTGCCGACTGGGGCATGTGTGCAAGCTGTGACTTTACCCAGGGCGATTGAGCAGCTACAACTCATCATCATGGTCATAACTGGCTCCTCATTCGTGCTGATTTTGCCATCAGTGTCCAAAACAGTCATTCACAAGTTCGTAAGTACGACGAAAACAGCGGGACACATCCTGATTGATTGATTGATTGACTGATTGATTGATTCCGACAAGTGTCGAACTAACAAAGGCTTGTCACTGTCGGGTGCTCTCTTGCTACAAACTTCTTCGAACATACGAGTTTCGACATTGCACGCGATTCGTATAGGTGTGAAGAGGTTCGAACTGCCGCACGTCACTGACGCTTTAGATCCGCAGCGCGCAGCGTGCACACAGGCACAGACAATCGAGAGCGGCGCCACACTGTTGAGAAACAACTTGGAAAGCACATGGCTGCAAGAGTTGTGCGAGGTCTAAAACCAACCTTGAGGTGCGTCCCTGAACCCCGATGCACCCAAACCATACTGGCACGCCGAAACCTTTTCGAACTGACCTTGCACTTCGGGGGTCCTTCGGCAAGATGCCGACCAGTGTGCCGGCAACAGGGTGCCAAACCTGCATTTTTTCAGCGCGAGCAGGTGCGCGATACACGAACAGCGGCCCTCTGGGCAACCCTCTTGCGGCCTCCACCGAGGCCCCATAGGCTCCAAAGCTCTTGACCCGACCCGGCAGCCAATGATCCCTCAAGTCCCGGTACCTGAGTTGCGAAGGGCTTTTTTTGGTTGTCAAATATATAAAATGCTTTATGTTTTTGGATTGATGTTGTTCAGTGTTTTTGGTAAGGTTCAGAGTTTGGGGTGCGGGGGCAAACCCTGTGATGTGTGGAGGTTTTCAAGGCTTGCCATGCGCGCCACGCACATTGTCCCTCCGTTGTCTGCCAGGGCAGACAACCTGGAGCTGGCAGGGTAGCAAGCAGCAAACTGCAGGCGGCGAAGGCATTAGGTGCCAAGCTCTTGGCACCTTTTAAGCTTGCTGACTTTGGGTCTGGATGGATTCGGGTCGAAGTCTGCAAATCACCATTGGTTCAGCCCTTTCGCTGGTTTTTTGAGGCAATTTCGAATCGAGTCTCACACTAGCAAGTGCAGGCGAGGATTCTGGTAGGAGCTACAGGTGAGCTTGAAGGGGTACAGACTCCCACACAAATGCACACAAGTTGGTTTTTTCATAACAATCATATTCACCTAAGCAATCTCGAATCGGAAAACGGCGATCGGAAACCAATTTGGTCTACTATCAAACATGCCAAAACGCGCAGCACCTCGAATGCCCTTTCTTGCTTACAGACCTATAAGCCTACGTCATGCGGTGCACCATGGAAGTCCCTTTGGGCCCCCAGAATCCGACGAGCCAAGGCTCAACGCCAGCTTCGCCTCTGCACCCTTCAGTGGCCTCAGGCCCGTGGTCTGAGGGTTTTGGGTTTTGGGTTCAGGGTTTAAGTTTTAGGGTTTAGGGTTTAGGGTTTGCCACCAGCCAGCAGACCCCCTCTGGGATCACCCGCAGGGTTTAGGGGTTTAGGGCTTAGGGTTCGCAAGTTTCGAAAACATGACTGTTGCGCACAAGGGGAAGCCCGAGGTCTCAGAGTTTCAGAATTGTGCTCAGACAGTCCGCATGAGTTAGAACACATCCTGGCATCAGGATTACAAAAGCGCGGGCTAGCCAACACCGTAAATGCAAATATCCAGGCCCACGGTTCATGGATAGGGATTGGGCCCCATGCCGAAGCATTTGTCAAGACTTTGTCATGCATAGTTCAATCATACAGTAGACATTCCAGCTCTGAGTTGCCCAAGTTCAGGTATAACAACCTCAAGGTGTCGAAACGTTGCGTTAGCCGTCAAGCTGTAGTATGGGCCAGGAGGCGATGATGTCCGCATCGACAGGTCAAGGTATCCCTTTTCCTTGCTCGTTGGGTCCATGGCCAAAGGCAACGATCCATGTTACTTGATAGCTTGGCAAGAGTGTCTCCCCTCCGTAGAACATATCAAAACCTCGAAAAACCCTAACAAGCAGCTTCAATGAATCTCAAGAACACCCAAGCGTCCAAGTCCACGCCGAGGACGCGGACCTGGTTCGAGGTTTCTCACATGAGGCACAGATACACCAGCTGAAGAACCTGTGCTTCATGTCTTGAAGGACCTGGTCTCGCTACATTCAGATTCTCTGGCTTCCTTTAGCTGACTAAATATGGGGAACTATCCGGATATTCAGAGCTCTTGTGCAGCGCTATACCAGGGAACTGTACATCATTGCTTCCTTCACGGGATGTATGGCTGAACGACAATATTTCAATATGATGCAAGAACAGCACTGCAAGTTTGCCCCGCAACGCTCACGACACATCTGCAATTCTAGAGCCGTTGAAGTGAATGAAGACAGGCGCCTGTAATCCTCAAACCCTCAGGCCCAAAGCTACAACTTTCTGCAAAGTACCTCGCCTGCACCTGCGAGCCGATTTCTGCATCGCCCTTGCACTCCTTGTCGGATTTTAAGTCTTGAAGGTTTGGGCCCAGGAGTGCGGTGCGCGGAGCATAGGAGCATAGCAATGCGTACAGAAGAAAGCAGAACATTTAGGAAATCAAGTGTTGGTCATACAAGTTTGATAAATATAAGGCCAAGCACCGGGAGGTACACGAAGCCTTGGCGGGATCCCTCGCCATGTGGGGATGGCACACTCACGAACCAGCCGGCCTGCATCTGCGTACGCTCAGGGGATGTACACGGCTTTTTTTTTTTTGCACCGCGGGAGTTGGTTAGAAGCCCCAAGAGTGACACCTCATAAACGGGTGGAGTTTTTTTTGTTGGGTCTTTTTTTGGGAGGGGGGCCCTTTTTTTTGTCGATTTTCTTGGTTTTCTTTGGGAAAAACCCTACTTTCCGTACATTTTGGACGGATTTTCTGTCATTTCCCTTAGGTTTTCGTTAGGGAAAACCTTTTTTTCTTTACATTTTGGACGGATTTCCTGTCATTTCCCTTAGGTTTTCCTTGGCTTTTCCTAGGGAAACCCTATTTTCCTTACATTTTGTACAGATATCCTGTCATTTCCTTCGTTTCTTGGGCTTAGAAGCACGCTTGGTACGGCTTAAAAGAAGTGGGGGGGGGGGGGGGGGGCCAGGCCCCACTTGCAAACACCTCTTGGGCTTTGAAGCACGCTCTGCACGGCCCAAAAAAAAAACGGGGGGGTTGGGGGGGGGCGCAGCCCCCCCCATTTGCAAACACAATGCTCACACGATGTTTTTCAACTAGTTTCTTGGGCTTTGAAGCACGCTTGGTACGGCTTAAAAGAAGCGGGGGGGGTTGGGGGGGGCGCAGCCCCCCCCCATTTGCAAACACCATGCTCACATGATGGGTGTCAACAAGTTTCTTGGGCTTTGAAGCACGCTCTGCACGGCTTGAAAAAAAAACGAGGTTTTCGTTGGTTTTTCCTAAGGAAACCCTATTCTGATTACATTTTGGACGGATTTCGTCAAAATGTAAACGCGTACGTTGCTTTTCCTTAGTTTTTCCTCGGGAAAACCCTATTTGGTTCGTTTTCTTGGTTTCTATCATTCCCTCTAAATTTTCATCGGATTCATACTACTTTTCTTCAACTAGTTTCTCGGGCTTTGAAGCACGCTTGGTACGGCTTAAAAGAAGCGGGGGGGGTTGGGGGGGGCGCAGCCCCCCCACCAACCCCCCGTTTGCAAACACCCTGCTCACATGATGGGTGTCAACAAGTTTCTTGGGCTTTGAAGCACGCTCTGCACGGCTTATAAAAAAAGCGGGGGGGGGTTGCGCGGCCCCCCCCCCATTTGCAAACACAATGCTCACACAATGTTTTTCAACTAGTTTCTTGGGCTTTGAAGCACGATTGGTACTGCTTAAAGGGGGGTTGGGGGGGGGCGCGCAGCCCCCCCCCCATTTGCAAACACCCTGCTCACATGATGGGTGTCAACAAGTTTCTTGGGCTTTGAAGCACGCTCTGCACGGCTTGAAAAAAGAACGAGGTTTTCGTTGGTTTTTCCTAAGGAAACCCTATTCTGACTACATTTTGGACGGATTTCGTCAAATGTAAACGCGTACGTTGCTTTTCCCTAGTTTTTCCTCGGGAAAACCCTAGTTGGTTCGTTTTCTTGGTTTCTATCATTCCCTCTAAATTTTCATCGGATTCATACTACTTTTCTTCAACTAGTTTGTCGGGCTTTGACGCACGCTTGGTACGGCTTAAAAGAAGCGGGGGGGGGGGGGGGGGGGGGGGGGGACGCAGCCCCCCCCCCCCCCCCGTTTGCAACACCCTGCTCACATGATGGGTGTCAACAAGTTTCTTGGGCTTTGAAGCACGCTCTGCACGGCTTAAAACAAAAAAGCGGGGGGTTGGGGGGGGGGGGGGGGGGCGCAGCCCCTCCCATTTGCAAACACAATGCTCACACGATGTTTTTCAACTAGTTTCTTGGGCTTTGAAGCACGCTTGGTATTGCTTAAAAAACGCGGGGGGGTTGGGGGGGGGCGCAGCCCCCCCCCCCCCCCCATTTGCAAACACCCTGCTCACATGATGGGTGTCAACAAGTTTCTTGGGCTTTGAAGCACGCTCTGCACGGCTTAAAAAAAAACGAGGTTTTCGTTGGTTTTTCCTAACGAAACCCTATTCTGACTACATTTTGGACGGATTTCGTCAAATGTAAACGCGTACGTTGCTTTTCCTTAGATTTTCCTCGGGAAAACCCTATTTGGTTCGTTTTCTTGGTTCTATCATTCCCTCTAACTTTTCATCGGATTCATACTACTTTTCTTCAACTAGTTTCTCGGGCTTTGAAGCACGCTTGGTACGGCTTAAAAGAAGCGGGGGGGGTTGGGGGGGGCGCAGCCCTCCGCCAACCCCCCCGTTTGCAAACACCCTGCTCACATGATTGGTGTCAACAAGTTTCTTGGGCTTTGAAGCACGCTCTGCACGGCTCAAAAAAAAGCGGGGGGGGGGGGGGGGGGTTGGGGGGGCGCAGCCCCCCCCATTTGCAAACACAATGCCCACACGATGGTTTTCAACTAGTTTCTTGGGCTTGGAAGCACGCTTGGTACGGCTTAAAAGAAGCGTTCTCGGGCTTTGAACTTGCAAACACCCTGCTCACATGACGGGCGTCAACAAGTTTCTTGGGCCTTGAAGCACGCTCTGCACGGCTTTAAAAAAACAAGCGGGGGGGTTGGAGGGGGGCGCAGCCCCTTCCTTCCCTCCTTCCTTCCTGCCTTCCTTCCTTTCTTCCTTCTTCCTTCCTTCCTTCCTTTCTTTTTTCTTTCTTTCCTTCTGTCCTTCTAAAACCTACAAGAAGTGACGCCTTCCTATGAAAATACAGAGAAATTGCGGTTTTTCGTACGAAAAGCCACGAAAATGCATCAAATCCTTTAAAAGATATAGAGGGAGTGGTGGATTTCTTAGGAAAAACCAAGAAAATCGACCCCCCCCCCCCCCCCAAAAAAAAAAAAGACCCCCCCCCAAAAAAAAAAGATCCAAAAAAATAGGCCCTCCGGGTGTCAACTTTGATGACCAAAACGTTTGGGATCCTCCAGGCTTGGGACGTCTACCAAGGCCCGCTCCCCACTTCTCCATGTTCCCGATTCGCTTCTCTAAGCTCAAAGTGGCCTCCATCTTGCGGGTCAGCGTGCCCGTATACCACTGCTGGGTATCAAGACCCACGAAATCTTTCAGATCTGCCATCGGTCCAGAATTCCAAAGGCTGTAGATCCGATTCTCGTCCATGGCCAAAATCAAGGTCGGGCGCTCCCTCTTACTGGAGTTGTACCGAATCTCGCTGACCCAAACTTGCACCCGATCGCCCAGGTTCACGTGAGCCTCAGCTGTTGGCCAGCGCCATCACAACATACCCTGCTCAACATGCAGGTTGCGAAGACTGCTGCCAATCTACAGTGTTACAGCAAATAGGTTGAAATCAAAAAGCACGCTTGGCTCGGCTTAGGCACCTCGTCAGTAGCCGTCTCTTGCTTTGAGGAGCTCATCTTCCCCACTGGCAGAACCCCTCTGACTTTGAGGCCGACGTCGACAAGGGCCAGCGGCCGCACACGCAGAACGACGCCTGGTCCGCAGGACAGAAGCCGAGGCTGTTGAGACTTAGTTCATCTTCGTTCATCTTAGTTCATCTTAGCTCATCTTAGTTCTCCTGCTTCGAAGATGGATCTGCGTGAGCGACTCTTGGCTGGTAGTGCCACTCGCGTCACTCTTGAGCGCCTATGCCGAAGTCGGTGAAACCATGTGCAAGAAGCAAAAAGATGAATCAAACCCGTTCCCAAACCCCCCCCCCCCCCCCGAATTGCCCCGAAGCAACTCCCCGAATCTCGGGCCTGTCAGCTCCTGACCTCGATTGCACTTTGCGCTTGCACGAAGGGTGTATAAACAAAGGAGGCTGCCCTCTCGACGGTCCACCCAATGCTGCAATACTTTTCTGAAAGTTTTATGCGAGCTATCTTGCAAATATGATTGAAGCCGAACTTAAAATGGGCAGGTACTGGCAGGTACCTTCAATACGGAAAGAGTTGCTCGAACATACCTCGTGCATCCGGCCCCAAAACCCAAGTTCCGGCCGGCTAGCCGATGTGCAGGTCCTCTAGCCTGTGTGGCCATTGCCGGCCAGCATCCTCCTTGCGAGCTGTCAACAGAAGGCCTTCATCACCTTAAACTTGACATGAGAGCCCGATCGTAGGCCAGTCCGGTGAGGAGGAATAGTCACTCTATTCAAGAATTGATTCAGGAGATCTCAAGGGGCGAATTTGAAGGGGTTCCTGAAGGCTTGAGGAGGGTTTGAGCACTTTGCTTGTAGCCGTCCTTCGCAAGGGATGGGACAAGACCCACGATGTTTCCGCCGTCCGGGTGCGAAACCTGGCGTGATGCGTTGAGTGGGGCCTGTTGCGCAGGCTTTGCGGATTGGGCAGGGCCTAGGGCGAAGTTGCAATGCTTGTGTCCTTGAAGGGTGCAGACTTCATTGAGGGCCAATGGCCAATGGCTCAAGACATCGGCGATCTGTTGTGGAAAGACAACATATATCGACAAAGACCCAGGGAGGGGAGCCCCAAAACCATCCATTCACCTCTCCAAACCTTAAACCATCTCCAGAACCGGATTCCCCGAACCATCCGAACCATGAATCCGCCAAAAACGCAATCCGCCCCCTGCCTCGACGAAGGCACCAAACTTGCCGCTGCGGGTGACCGTGCCGGGTAGCCGTTGGCCAGTCATGTTTTTGAAGACAGAGAGCCTTAGAAAGGGGTGTTATCGGCGTCATCATGCTCTTTTGCCGAGTACTAGAACCAGGAGGTTGTGACGCAACTGCAACTCCTCTTTGAACCCAAACGGGGGGCCTTGCTTCCATCCCTTTGGCAGCTGCAGCCCGCATGGACAGGTAGAGGTGGTTTTTGTCGGGATTCAGGCGCAAGGCTCGCACTGAGACCTCGGAGCCCACCTCAGACGATGGAGGGGCTGTTGTACTGTGGTTACCATGGTTACCGTGGCTATTTCATGTTATTTCTGCTTGATCCAGCATAGTTAACTTAGCAAAGAAAATCTTCTCTGAGCCTTTCTGGTCTCCAAGACACCGTCGCATTGTAAGTGCACTCGCTTCTGGGAACCAGGCCCTCTACAAATCCATCGCCTGCGGGAGCTTCGATCCGCACGAACATCCCATAGGATCGGTGGCGACTCACCGTACCATTGAACCACACCTTTCCTGAGTTGGGGCAATTCGAAGCCAATATGTGAGACCACGCTCCCTCTCTAGGACTATGCAAAAAAAAAAGAGGTGAACTAGATAAACTGCCGCAAAGCCCAACTGAGTCTCCCAACCTGGACTGAAATTGCATGACGTTGGCCATGGGGCCGGGGGTGTCCGGCCTTGATATCTTGTCTTTGTCCATAGCAAGCACAAGCTTCCCGTGGCGTAAATCCTCTGGATGGGACACCTCGCTTACCCAGACTTCGACCTCTTCTCCTTCGTGGACGCAATCGAAGCAGCTGCCGTTCGGGGCTGCGCCCAGCATCTTCGATATGGGTATGAGCCCTTCCTTCTGGGCACCAACATCCACCATGACCGCTTTGTCAGCAACGTACGACACAACACCTGCAAGTAGGTGGAGTGGTCAAATTTCAACAATTTCTTTCCATGACTGGCGGGCCCCCAATACGACGTGACAGTGTGAACCCGCCCAGGACCCAAAAGCCTACACCGAGAATCATGCATCCTGACCATTTTAACGTGGCGCTCGTGCACGTGTGCTAGAACGCGTGGCCCCTCAACATCATCAAATCCGAAGCCTCAATCGTCCCAACACTTCCCAGAAAGTCAGAACCCATACCCCCAAAAAACGCTTGAAAGAACCCAAAAGGGATCCTAAGGTCAGAGAACTGCCCATCGAACCACCGCACCTTTCAGCTGTTGGCCGACGCTGAACTGGCTCCTGAGTCGCAGCTTCTAAGGTCCTTTTTCTCCTAGCTTGCGGGTGCCTGGAGTTGGGATGAGATTGCTGCTAAGGTGGCAGAATCATCCCGACATGGGCCAGAGGCCTCCCTGACGGACCATCCAGGAAGAGTGTTCTTCCAGGACATGTTTTTTTCTGGTATGAATCGATGCGCTTCTTTGAGTGCTTCAGTGCTTTAGTACGCTCTTGTTTTGCTACGTGATTCACAGCTGGGCTTTTTTGGGAGGCTCAAGCTCTGTCGTGCAAAACAATGGGTTTTCTTAAACGATTACATTTGGGGCTACAGAGATTACTCATTACTCTCATAGAAGCCTGGGCCTGAAGGTGTCAGTCATGCTGTTGGCACCGATTGGCGCTGTTTGCACTTCATCGCTCCTCTATAGATGCATGAGAGAAAGCCGGCAAGAACTCCGGGAACTTAGACGATCAGCTCGTGGCAAAATTACGAGGTGCTGGCCGATTCCATGCAAGCTAAGGCACAGCGGAGCAGCCCCCTTCGTGGTGGCAAAGCCGAGGTCCTGGCCGCACAAGCTGGAGTGTGCTCGCCGAAAGGCCCTTTACAGCATTGGGCCACATTCTGAAATCCTTCGAAAGCATGTGAAAACTTCGAAAAACCCAAGGGCCCCTTGGCAGATGGCACCTTGACCTTCTAAGTTGGCATCGTCCTTCGCCCTCAGCAGAACGGCTACCAGGGCTGCTGCCAAGGCAGCCCGCCGCCGCGTCCGCGGAATTCGAAACATGGCGAGTGAGGATCTCTCCTGGAAGGCCAGATAATAGAAACTCTGTCGCAATGTGCACTTCTGAGAGTGGATTGGTGTCGCAATGTGCACTTCTGAGAGCGGATTGGGGGGGGGGTGGGGCTGCGAATCACGGAACATCTGACAGACTGTCTGAGCCACAATAGCTGCACCACCCCGAAGCGACCCGGCGATATCCCCAGCTGGCTGGAGTTGCTTCATTCATATTATTCTATAATATATATATATATAATAGAATGTAATATAAATCGCCAACATATACTATATGTTGTATAATATTAATGCAATATGAAAATGCCTCGCTGGCAAGATGTGCTTGGGTCTGCCCCTCAGTCCCTCAACGACTGTCGTCCAGTGAATGCTATTGGCCAACGCGGCAAGACTTCTTCGCATGAGACCAGAAGGGAATCCGAACACAGCCCCTTTGCTTGAAGCATGGATCCTCAACTTCCACTTGCCAAAGCCCTTATTCTCAGAACCTCAAGCCCCCCCGAAGGGAACACTAAACTCCGGCTCAGAGTCAGGCCAGCCCTTGGCACTTGTCCGAGCAGGCGGCGCTGAAAGCACCTGCTCAGGGAAGGCCCTGCTGCAAAAGCTAAGCCTTGCTTCTGATCCAAAGCCCCACAGGCCATGAGTGGCCGGTTTTGGGCAAAAAGCTGGTTGGAAGCTCAACTTGTTGAAGTCGCGGCGGCGCTTGCAAAACTGAGGCAAACTAACGAAATCAGGAACCGAATTCAAAGCTGTCATGTGCTGGCGCGTGGTCTTTGATATTACCGGGGGAAAACGGCTCCGAAAAGATTTTCCAGAAAAGCCGCCACTTTTCTCGCGGCGGCGCGGGCGCCTACGTCTCCCGAGAAAGCACTCTTCTCCGAAGTGAACGGTGCACACCTGGCAGCGAAACTAGCCTGATCTCCTACATTCCTAAGCATTGTAGGCCTTAGAACAATGTTGCAAGAGAGGGGGGCTAAAACAGTTGAAACTTAAGATCGTCTGGGGTGCCCGTGGTGTCAGACACCAGAGTCAGACACCGTCTCGACCCGATCGGGGACCAGATACCCTCCGAGTCACACACCTACACAGCAGTGTCGGTGACCACCCCGGAGTGGTACCCAGAAACCCCCTCACAGCCCCAAGCATGCCTCTGTCTATGCAGCTCCCAAGCCCCCTCACAGCCCTCACGGCCCCTCCCAAGCTCTCCTTTTTTTTCGTGTCTACGCAGTCCTCACAGGCTCTGCTAGCCGTCATGCATTTTTACATGACGCCGTTTGATGAAGTAAGGATGCTTCACAGGGTCTTTGGCTTTCGAAGCCCTGGTTTTTGGGGATCACGAAGGTTTAGGGGGCTCGGTCCATCTCGCACGTCGTATCTCTCTGGGTCGGCTTCTCTTCCGAAGACACGATTTGGAGGCTGTGCAGCGCCCAATCGGCCCGCAATCGAGCATCGGTGTGACAGGAATGAGGCCTTTGCCAGGCTCCGAGGCTATGAAGCAAACACCAAGAACTACAACGATCAATTTCTTAATTATGGCTCTTACATGCTTCTTCCTGCATGGCTGGGAGCCAGGAAGAAGCATGTAAGAGCCATAAGAAATTGATCGTTGTAGTTCTTGGTGTTTGCTTCATAGCCTCGGGGCCTGGCAAGGCCTCATTCCTGTCACACCGATGCTCGATTGCGGGCCGATTGGGCGCTGCACAGCCTCCAAATCGTGTCTTCGGAAGAGAAGCCGACCCAGAGAGATACGACGTGCGAGATGGACCGAGCCCCCTAAACCTTCGTGATGCCCAAAAACCAGGGCTTCGAAAACCAAAGACCCTGTGAAGCATCCTTACTTCATCAAACGGCGTCATGTAAAAATGCATGACGGCTAGCGGAGCCTGTGAGGACTGCGTAGACACGAAAAAAAAAAGGAGAGCTTGGGAGGGGCCGTGAGGGCTGTGATGTCACGACTTGCAGATGCCAAGCTTAAGCCAACACAAAAATGGTGGCAGAACACGTGCCATCTACAGTTCCCGACTCGATCTATGCTATTCCCTGACACCAACCGCCCCGGTCGGCAAACCGACTCGTTTAGCGGCCGACACCGCGAGCACAGGTAGACGACCCCGTCTGTTGGTGACCGACCCGGATTTTCCCCGATCGTCTGGGGCCCGGGCTCCCACAAACTACCTTTTCCATCCAGGCCTGTTCGAACTGCCGGGCAAGGACTTCAAAAAAACTACCTACACCATCGAAGGCCCGGGCTTCAACAGTTTAGATTTAGATAGTTCGGCGCCTCCGGAAGAGGGGAGGGGGGTTTAGATAATTTGGATACGACTGGTTTGTTGGATGCCAAGGTTCGTGCAGAGCGAGACAGTTTCTGCGGGTATCATGACTTTTCGTGGGATGGAAGGCCTGATCACTGCAGTTTAGTTCGAAGACCATCCTTTCTCGCGTCGGTGCGTTCGCACGTCTCCCCTTCTTGCATTGCCGTGCACACACGTCTCCCGAAAAGCAACTTTCCTCGAGAAGATGACTCGAAGTCTCGAAAAACCACTTTTCTCGAACAAACACTTCTTTTTCGAAATGCCACTTTTCTCGCGGCGGTGTGCACGCGCACGCTCTTCGCGGAAAGCCCACGTTCTTGAAAGAACACCTTTTGCCAACAGTGAGTTTCCTCGCTGATTTTCCCGCTAACCAGGAAGACGCTCCGCGTGACAGCTTAGCTCTCACGGCACAACAGTTTGGGGCATCGACACACACCGAGATCCCGACTGACACAACCCCCATCGCTTTAGTGGGCCTGCAGAGAGGCGTCAGTACCCACGTCCTGCCGTGATGGCCCTGATCTCGCCCTAAGTCACGGTCTGGCTTGGCGATTCTGGGTTTAGGCGACTGACGTATGAGATGTAAATAGTTGTAAGCCGCGGTCTTCACCCAAATCCATGACACGACTTGAGATTCCACATCATGACAGCTGCAACGTGCTGCTTTGAAGCAGCAGCCTAAGCATTGGCCCTTCTAGGGACCCACCATAAACTTCCTAAACACTCTGAAGACTTCACAATTCCACAGCAGGCGCCCAGCATTCTGCAACGCAAGCCCGCGCATGGCAGCCTCACGAGGCCGCGGAAGTGGCGAGCTTTCGGGGCGGACATGGCAGTGGCTGGGACTTCAAACCTTGGTTCGGATATAAGATGAATGAAAAGGACTTGCATCTTGAGAAGCATCAGGGCTGGGAGCTGCTCCAGGAACATCAATGTTGAAGGTGCTGGGTTTCGGTTGAATGTGACTTCTCGTAAGGCAAACATTTCCTGGCTCACCTGCTGTGAGATGCATGTCTGCTGATAGAACTGGTTCTGGTACTTCTTGCCGGTGGTCTGGGTTTGCTTGTCGATCCGGTTCTGGTCTTAACAAGTTTTCATTGGTGGTCTGGCAGGGTTCCTGGTTGATGGCTTTTGTCTCTGATGGCTTCTCATCCCAGAAGATCTCCACCATTCTCCACCCGATCCATCTGGCACATAAACGGCAGGCTCCTGAAATCCCGCCAACTTCTGGACTCCGAAATCCACTACCATAACACACACACACACCCACACACCCACACGTACACAGAGAGAGAACTTATCCAGCAAAAAGGCCGCAGCCGGGGCCTGTCGGTCGTAGGTGAGGGATTCCGGATTCCTTGGGCACTCCGTGGCGATGTGGCCGTTTTGGTGACCTCGGATCTCTAGGCCTCTTAAGGCCTTTTTAGGTGACAAGACGTACAATATCGCAGAATTCAGCGCAGCCCTGTCTCGCCAACTGCACAACGTGCTTTGCAAGCTGGCCCCCATTTCCACAAAGCTTAGGACCGTCGCTCAACATCCGACACCTGTAACCGATCTCCCCACCCAAAGCTACCACACTGAGACCTGAGCAGAAGAAGCACACTTTCGGCTCCAAACCTACGGCCACACGGCCTGGCAAGAGTCATCAACAGCCCACTTTGGAGTTTCCTCCGGTTTGTGCTTCTGAGGACTCAGGGTTTGAAGCTTAGTGTTCCAGCTGCGCAAACATCTTCAAAAGCGGCGGTGTCCACACAGCTCATGAAGAATCTTGGGCTGAGGGCTTCGCATAAGACCACAGCTTTCCATTGAATGAACACAGCTGTTCAAGCCCGCAGCGTGCCTTCCGGGTGCGAGTACAGGCAGTCAGCCCGCGCCTTTTCAAAGACTCAACGGTCCCGACGCTCCCCTCAACTTTAATGCATACTGCCCTCATCTCACAGGGTCAGCTCACGAGAGATTTCGCCAATGTGATGGCCGAATGCTTGTCTTTGCAAAGCTATATTCCAACGCGCGTCGAGGTGCCAGACTCTGCCAGACTCTCCGTACTTCCAGGGCAGACTCTAGTCGACCAAGGTAGCGGCACTCGGAACCGCACGGAAACTGAAGAAAGCCTCTGGCATCACAAGGCAAACTAAGATTTCTTCCTACGCCGCCACCGCCGCCGGAAGAAGGATAGCAACGCCGCCAGCAGTGCCATGGGAGTCCCTCTCGACACCTGGATCGTCTTCTCAGTTGCATGCTATAAAGTTCTAAAAGACACTCTGTGCCACTCTGTGCCACTCCGTGCTCAACGGCAGTGGAAACCTGGCACCTGCTCGCCCGCACGCCGCGCTGCTGGCGCCAGGCTCGGCTCGAAGCCGCCGTGGCCGAGGCGGTGATGGACGGCCTCCAGAACGAAGCGCAGCGCTTCGTTGTTCCCGTCCTCCTCCATGAGCTGCCACACTTTCCTTAGACCCAGCGGCTTCTTGGATGTGCTCAACTACACAGTGACGGCACGCATGTCACAACAGTTAACTTGAACAGGCACCCGTAACACCCGTATTGAGAACATTGCATAGAGGCCCAGGTGCTCATTGAGGCCCCCTGGCGTCTGCTCTGCAAGGAGTTCCGCAAAGGTCTGCGGCCCAGCAGCGGCGCTGTCCGCAGCAAAGGCGCCGAAGGCAGCTGACACCCAGGAGGCTGCAGCCTCTGCTGGGACCCCACCTTGTTCCAGCCACTCCTGACAGTCTTTTTTTTCTCCCCAACACTAAGGATGAAGAAGCCCGAGTCCCAGCCAACATTCGCTACTCGTCCACTCCTGCGCTGTAAGCTGCTGCTTGTAGAAGTTCCCCATCAGGCCGGAGACGCACATCAGCCGCCTGAAGTGCTCCTCGTCTTCCACTGCCACATACCGGCCGAGGCGCCGGAAGATGCCCAGGGCTCCGGGACCCGGTTGCAGAAGAAGTGCTGCCCCGCGCCGCTTGGCCACGGAAGGAAACGGGATGGCGATCGAGGCACTGCGCGCTGGCGCGCAGAGCTCCCGCAGCCTCTGGATTGGCAGTCCCGCCACGAGTGAAATCACTTCTTGATCGGGTCGAAAGGCCAACTCCTGGAGCACCAGCTCGGCCTGTTTCGGAAGCACTGAGATTAGGACGCAGTCGGTTTCCTCAACCACCTCGCAATTGCTGCCAGCGACTCGGACGATCTCGGGGGACTCAGCTCCTAATAAGTTAGCCTTGGCAGCACCCCGTGGCGACAGCACCACTTTCTGAAGTCCTCTCTCTGCTCGGGAATGTAAAACAAAAACAAACTCCCCTCAAAGTGCCTCAACCTTCTCCACATAATATAGTCAAAGCACTCTAAGAACGAGAAGCCCACCAAAGCTTACCAAGGTCCTGAGGGCGGTGTCTCGGTGCTGTGATGGCAAAGGCCGCGCACAACTGCCGAGCCGATGGTTCCCACGCCGACAATCCCAACAGTGGCAGGGACAGCATCTGCCATGGTGGCCCGAGACTGTTTGCCACTCTTGTTTGGCTACTAGCTGCTGATGAAGAACTCGGGATCTATGTGGGAAAGAAGCTGAGACGCATGCCTCTGTCACGAGCAGGTGCGCTCCACGATATTTGTGCAGATATGCAATCTTAGAGCAACGGCGCCCCACAATCGAGCCAGAACGGCTGGACGACGCAGAACACAAGCTGTCAACAAAAGCAGACGAAGTTGACGAAGCAGCCACCGCACACAGCCTACTCTAAGTTACTCATGATAGCATCGACGAGCTTTGGATGGCAACTCGGCTGCAATCGGCATCAGTGCTTGGCGACCCGGCGCACTGGATGCCGAATTTGCACATTCCCTTAGTGGGATCCTGCAATGCAGACTTTGAAGTATAACCGGGAGCAGGGGGGGGGTCCAATTCTCCTAAGCCACACTCGGAGCATGCCAATCAGAACCTCAAGCAGATTGTCGACTTGATTCTGGCAACCCTTGTGTGTAAACGTGGCGCAGCAACATCGTCGATCATCCGCCCCTCTGGGTGATCGTAGAAGCAACCTTGCCTGCCACCATGTCGGTAGTCTAACTCCAAGAACACGCCTCATCTCAAAGCAGCATACCCTGTGACTGTGAGACCTCAGCTCAGACATTCAGACTCCAAGCCCCCCCAGCCTTTTGCACCGCCGGCCGAAAGCGCACGGGTTGAGCTCCGAGTCGATTTCTCGGCCTCGAGACCATCTGGCTGAGATCGGTAAGAGAGTCCGATTGTCTTGCGCCCGCGAATTCGAGCTTCAGGAGGCTGAGGAAAGCTTTGCAAGAAAGGATGGGCTCAACTTTTAACCGGACAAGGAAGGATCTGAGCCCTTCCGTTGTTCAGGTACATCTTGATCCTCGCAATAAACCCTTCAGCTCATCAAAAAGAAAATATCACCGATGTGGAGGGGGTTCAGGGCTGTGCTGGTTGTTCTTGGATGACAAAGACCCCGTGGCTTCTCTCTGCAAGTCGGCACATCTCTTCTCCACGGCCGGCAACTTGAACCATGATGGCTCTAAGTCACTAAGCGTGAGATAGATCATTGGTGGGGTGAGACGTGCAGGCGTGGCCATAAGCTTGGAAGACCCGCATGGATGCTGTGATCGGATGGGGTAGGAAGCCTAAATCACCCTTCGCTAAACCCTCAACCAACGATGTCCAAGGGCCAGCATGAATTGTTGACAGAATGACTTCAAAGCCATGGAACCTGTCAGTTATGAAGAAAGATCAAAAGTGTTGGGTCCTTGCAGCTTAATGCAAAGACTTGAAGCTGCTACTTTTCTACTGGCCGAGGCAGCGCATTCAGCTCAACAGCTTGCACTGCCGCAGCTTCATGCCCAAATAAAGCTCCTTGACGTCATCCACTGCCAGGTCCGCCAGATTCTTCAGGCTCGCCTCAAAACCACATCTTTGTGCGGCGCGTAAGGTGGGAAACCTCTATCATGCCACAGCGCGTTCTCTCACGGATTTACAGGCTTGGAGACTCAACTTTAAAGGTGGGCATTCTGTCGTTGGTCTTCCTATGTTGGTGGCAAATGACGCTGACCAACTAGCAACCCTTTATAGCCCCAAAACAGTTATGGGGCCTGTTCAAGAGACGCCGAGAACCTCCTCCAGGCATGGAGAGCTGCGCAACGTTGGCCCGTCTTTGCCCTGCTTGGGATTCAGGGCAATGGCAATGTAATGGCAGGGATCGGATTTCAGGCTCGGAGTGTCTCGAGTTCAGGATTTATATTTTGGATTTACTCTGTTTGGGATTTCAGACCATGTCTGAATGGAGAGCCGTCAGGCTCAACACTTGAGCAAGCGTGGTTTGAGGTCCAAGGGTGCGGAAGCTCTGGGATCTTTGAGGCCCAAGGTGTGGCAGGCTGCACAAGTGGAGGCAAGGGGGCACAAGTGGATTTTGACCAGAGCCGCCAAAGGCGTAGCTCTAAATCCCACGAGGGACCCTCAGCCCTTCATGCGCGCACCTTGCCGAAGGCATTCTTGAGTGCCTTGGCCAGTGGATAGCCGAGCTTGTCCCTCGCAGGAACCTCGTTTGACTGGCAGCAGGTCTCGACTCTTTCGCTGCCCTCTGAGATCTGGTTGAGGTCTATTGGATGCAAGGCGGCCCCGATGCGACAGTCTCAATCTATTCTTGCCAAGTAGCTAGATTCCAAATGGTATACAACTGCAGGGCACAGGGCACTCGAAGCCGAGAGCACTTGATAAAGCGACCAGGCAGCAAACTCACAAGAAGCTACGAGTAAGAAGCGCCAGAACTCACAGAGAACTCACGCGACTCAGCCGAACAGAAACTCGGAATGCCGCTGCTCCGACCAGGCCTGTCCGCTGTAGTTCATCTCTATCAAAGGGCAGTCTCCATAGCCGAACATGCCGAACTTCTTCTCACTCCCGCCTTTGTCATACCGGACGGAGAACCTAGGCTGGGTTTAGGGTTTAGGGTTTAGGGTGGGCAAGATTCAGCTGCTTAAGCACACTTCGCAAACACCATGTCCCAGACAGCTGCGCTGGTCACAGCCTACACACCCCCAACTTCCCAGGCCAGGCAGCTCGAAGAAGTTGTAGCCCAGGTAGAAAGGATACTTCTCGGAAACCGCATCGCTCACCAAAATCGGCAGATCATCCTCACCATGGTTGTTAAGTTGCTGCACCCACTCCGTCTACTCTGAGCACTGCAGCATGACACAGATTATTGACCAGCTTCCGCGACTCTTGCAGGGACCCTAGAGCCCAGAGTATGCCCTGGACACACCCAACAGGGCAACAGCGCCAGAGCCTTGGCACCAACGTGGACGCTGTGGTACTCCCCAATGAATACTGGAAGCCGGATCTCCGACGACCAGAAGATGCTCTTTGCATACCTTCAGCTCGGGGGGAACTGTCTTCTTGAAAGTTTGTAACCATGGTTCTATATATCAGTCTGCGTCGCGTGTGCTCGGCCTTCGGATATAGCCAGAAGGTAGGGAGGCATTGAGTACCATATTATATGACCACAGGCCTGGAAGTTCCACTTTTGGATGGTAAGGGCTCAAGACTTCAACTGGATTAAGGGGAACCTTCAACTGGGTATGAAAGCCCTGGGATGGATGCCCCACAGGCTCTGCAATGACACGACTCAATGACACGACTCAGAGCATCTGTCCTAAAGCTATTGAGCCCAAGCCTACCCCCTGGCGTAAGGTGGGCTATAAGGGGGTTGGGCTGATTCGGACTTCGGGGTGACGGTGATTCAGGGTGATGTCCGACGCGGCTCCAAGCTGTTTTTGGGTCTGCAGAGGCGGTGCAGGCAATTCAGGTTCAGTAATTGCCTCCCAGGCGCTCGTCAAGGAACAGCTCCTGCCAAAAGACTCATCCGCGCGAACTCTTGCGAAGATGCACAACTTCAACAAAAGGACCAACAAAAGCACGCTCAGGCACAGTTAGTGCCAGAAATCGTGCGTTTGCTCCCATTTGGAATAAACTCATGCCGGCTTTGGCTCACTATGGCAAACCATTCTCGGTGTCCGAGGAATCACCAAGCAGGTTGGGTGGTTGCACCATGTTGCACCCCAAAACGTGGTTTAACAAAAGCACGCACACATGTAAGAACATATCCGGGCAGCGATTCGAGGGGACAGGATTTCTTGACACATCCTCACACTCGGAATGCTCGAACTAGCAAAGCAAGCGGGCCGGCTGTCACGGAGGCCGCATCAGGAAGGCACCCGCACTACCTGCCCCAAACAAGAGAAGCCGCAGCGCCAAGTGATTTCGTGTCCGCTTACGACCTGTGAGACGATGTTCCCATGCGCAAGTATCATGTTTCTCAAGACGCACATGCAACCTCAACAATTGCCCTGGCAAGCCCAAACGTGTTTATGGTTTAGTCCGCCGCCCGCGCGTTGAGCTGCACTTGACCGCATCCTTCCTGGATTGTAAGTGCCAGTCGATACCCAGGTTAAGGGCTTAATTTCGCACAATGCCATTTCTTGTCAGGTGCTGATCTGTAAACCACCCTGAACGAACACCTCTCTCCGCTTCCGCTTCGCTGCTTCCTTGCATGTCGTACTCACGCGTACAGCGACCGAGCCATGGCCTGCTCCGACGGTTCTCCGGCGGGCCCTCAGCGGTCGCGACCCCGAGACGGCCCCCCTGCGCACACGAGCAAGACAGACGCAAGTTTGCCTAGCAGACGACACAATGTGCCTGCGGCAAGACGCCCAGGTAGCGCGTGGTTTAGGTGTGAATGTTTTCCCAGGTTTGGCCGGCCCTGGGCCCCAGAGATTTCATGACAATTGCAGTAACATACGCTGACAAATGTGGTGATGAGCACTTCGTCCCGCGATTCCGCTCGCCACAGCGGCAGGAAGGCATGGATGCCGCAGAAAAGTCTGGGAACACATGCCGCCTGCGAGATTCGAAGCCTCGACCTCTTATGTGGCTTTGTTCGACATAGGACCTGCGTTGAGCGAGTCAAGAGAGCTTGCCGAATTCTGCTCCTGATTGTGCTGGACTGAGAATCGCAGGCCAGAGAAAACGAGATGGAGGTTGGCAGGGTGAGACCAGGAAAGGAGGAAGGAGGAGAGCAGCGCATGGTTTGCTCAACAGCTGCCTGTTGCAGAGTTGTGTTGACAAGGCCAGCTTGCAAAAACATAATTGCGACACTGTCAGCCCACTGCAATCCTGTTGTGCGCCGGATTCTTACCTGCGAGCCTGAAGTTTCGACTCTCACAAAAGTTTACACAAGTTTACACGACCTTGCAGAAAAGTAAGCCGCTGAAATCATAGCGCAGCAGAGTTTGCAGCAGGTCCTCCACCACGTGCCCAGGCGCTGCCGTGTTGAAGCTGTTGACCCAGCGCTTCTTGTAGGCGCTCAGCACATCGTTCTTCCTCGGGTTGGGACTTATGGTGCTTAGCTATGTGGATTTCATCAGTCAGTCAAAAATCGGACTGCTTGACCTGTATAAGGGGCCAAGGCTGCCTTGGGCGGCCACTGCGATAGTCCTTGACACCATGTTTGCGAGTCCCCTTTCGAAAGTTCGGCTGGAAACCGAGAAGCGCCGTGCCTTGCAACTCTGCTGAGCATCTCTTAAGGCCGTCCTCCTTTGTCAACCCCGAAACCGTAACCCTCTTGGCCACCACGGCAATTGCCCTCTAAGCCTGAAGCCCAAGCCCCAAAAACGTGAATATCTCGCACAGCACAAAAGCAATGAACATCTTGCTACACAGCATCTGGCGCCCGGCCCCGAACATGCACTCGACAAGGAAACTGAGACCACCAACCTTCCCTTTACTACTAGTTGCTGCAGAAACCCCCAAAAAGCCAAAATACTATTCCTTCTAAGGGTGAAAAAAGATCTCTGTTTTTTTTTTTTTTTTTTTGGGGGGGGGGGGGGGGGGGGTGCTTAAGCAACTAGTAGTTGAACTGAAGCTTGGGATCGGCACGTAGTTGGTAGGCGACTTCTCAGGATGCTTCATGCACTCGTAAAGCTCCTGCATCTGGCCAAGCCTCACAACCCGGCTGGTGATTTTGCGCAACTGGGTCTAAGGCGTATAAGGCTTAAGGTCCGGATGTAGTCGACCGCACTCGCACTCCACATTCTACGTTCTACGTTCTGCAAACGAGAGCTGATCACGAGGTTCGTGTGAAGCATGAAGAGCCCCCTGTCTGTAACATGAGCAGGGCAGTGTTTTTGGAGCATTCTTTAAAGGGGAAGCCATCATTCTTCCCTCGCAAGTTAGCATCATACCCTTTTTGCATCCGGGCTTGGAGAGTCGGCCGGGAATGGTCCGGAAATCGTGGTGACTTGCATCTGATAATCAGCATCATACCCTAAACTCTAAACCCTAAACCCTAAACCCTAAACCCTAAACCCTAAACCCTAAACCCTAAACCCTAAACAAATAACCCTCACATCTGCGACATCTGAGCTCGGCACCCTGGAGCTTCCTTTCCAAACGCCGCAAAGGAAAAGGTCACTGTGAGGGCGATGGGGTTCCTGATGGTTCCAACAGTCCAAATTTTCGAGTTCCCTGCCTTGGGACAAGACTACATCTATGCTAGGCAGCAGCATCTTGATTCTCAAGTCCAGGTGTTCGTGCGCACGGGGTTCGAGCTTGTCCAAGCCAAGGGCTTAAAGTTGGAAATTCGCAAAGCTGAGACCTGCAATGGCTTCCAGACAGAAGCCGCCGGAATCTGTCCCTTACAGAAGCATCTCGAACGCAAAAGCGGCTGCCGCTCCCACATCGGCCAAGCGTCTCGGTCACATTGAGGTCCTCCGAATGGGTCGAACGAGGCTGCTGATTGTGAGCTAGGACGAGGAACAAAAGGGTCCAAATGACCAGACCACCAGCAACAAAACACACACACACACACACACAAAAAGTCTCAATCTAAAACCCTCATCCCTGCCCATGCAGCCCCTGCCAAAAGGCCTTCTCAGCTTGAAGGATGGCGTCCAAGCTGGTGACCATGGCGCGGCAGACCTTTCGGTGGAGCAAGCTCAGTGCATCTCTCAGTTCGCCACGGGGCCAACAAGCTGTCCCGAGCACCGTTGCTACTTGGGTTTAGGGTTCTTGTAACTCTTTCATCGTCAACGTTACGCTCGGATAGATCCAACCACCTTGACTTAGCATAGACCATCAAGAAGACGCGACCACCCGACAGACCCAGGGAAAAGAAGAGCAGGCCAGGCTACCCAGGCACATTGCGTGAGATGCCTGAGGCTTCGGGCTTGTAATTTCCATATATTGCTAATGCCATCAGGACCAAATAAGTGCTTTGGATGGGTCACAGGACCAGACGATCGACAGGGCTATCGCTGACGAAGCCCGCATTCAAGTTCGCTCAACTCACCAAGCCAGCACCAGCCCTAAAGCCGAAGCCCCACACTCTGCGGCAAGACTTGGGACAAGCTGCATTTGTCCGCGGGTGGACCTTCGTGCAGGGACTCCAGGTTGAAAGCTTATGTGTAAATTTCGGGCTTAGGGATGTTCTCGAGACTTTCGGTTTTTTTTTTTTTTTTTTGGGGGGGGGGGGGGGTTGGCAGACCAAGGATCTGGTCTCCTTCCCCCCCTTCAGAAACAATACTTTAACCCGGCAGTCCTAAAGACCCTGTTTTGAGACTCCCTGAAGCACTGTACACCGTACGCCCTCGTTTTGTGGTGTCCAGCTCTTGCTGATCTTTGGCCGGCTGTTCCCCTGCAAAAAACCCTCAGAGCCCAAAGGTCGTCATAACAATAACAGCAGCAGACAGAAGATACAGATTCAGCAGATGCCCTCATCCCTCTGAACCTAGGCCTTTCGCAAACATCCCGACTCCAGCCTGCCTTGAGGTCGGGCTCATTGCTGATGATCAGGGCTTTCAGGGCCGGGTGGTACATGGTGTAATTCCTGTGCCCATTGTGCCCAGCATCGACAGCGTGTGTTTCGTGCGCCATGGATCGTGAACGCACAAGGCGTGGGCACGGGGTGGTACCATGTGTATGCTTCGTGGCCCTTCGTCTAGTGGTGCTCTAGACTGCAAGCTGGACAAGTGGCTAACACCGTTTTGTTGGGGAACGCCCAGTTCGGTCCTCGCACCAGCCCTCCGAGGGTGAAAGCTCTCTACCGTCCCTGAACAAGGAGAACCATTCTTTTCCAGGCCCCAACTGCCAAACTGCGCTCCCTTTCTCGACCAAGGCACCTGATGGTGAATCCCTTCTTCAAGTTGCCTGACGCCATGACAACTGCGTGACCGCCCCTTTTCTTGCAGGCTTCGGCCTTCGACATTTTGTGTTAGAATGAGAACATCTCGATGTCGATTGTAGAAACTGTTAAGGCAACACATGGATGTGAGAGATACCCCACACATACCAAAGCTAGAACTTTGAAGCATGGATTTCAACTACAGGCATTAGCTTCTTTTGTTCCTGTTTGAGAGGCAAGATTTCTCAGCTTCCTGATAACAGGGGCGTTTGTGCATGTGCGGCCTGCAGCAAATGCTGCGTTGATGTGGGCGACACAAAGAACAAGAACGCTTCGATCAAGAGAGGTGGGACTCTAGGAGAGGGCGGGCTGTTCTCCCCCATGCGAAAGAAGGAAGAAGAAGAAGAAGAGGGTTGGACTGTTCCGGTTCTTCTCCCCAATCCCTGAAAAGAACAGGAGTCCGGGTGTTGGGGCGGGGAGGTCTTCCATCTTAGGGCAGGAGAAGGACAACCCTGCCTTGTGTACGCTATCCCTTGGTCGGCAATGCTCATAGCATGGATGCTGCCCTATGGTGCCACGGTAAACTGCACGACGTTCAGCTCATGGATGTCTTTCGATTTGTTGCTGTCGGTCCTCGCTGTCTTTGCATCAATATATGACAGTATTGATGAAGATCATGATATAACAGCAGCCATTTTCGCCCAAGCTTGTCAGGTCAAAGAGTGTTTCCTATCGGTCCTTTGCCTTCTTTACATTGCAGCAAACAAATGCTGCCCAAACCGATAACCTGTCTGGTCCTGACTGACCTTCTTGGGATGACATGATGTAACGGGCCGATGGCAGTACATCCTTCTTGGGATCAATGACGCAACGGGCCGATAGCAGTACATTTTGCCCCGACCTGTCTAGCAAGATTTGCTGCAGTCGAGGCGGGCCGATAGCAGCAAGCTTTCCATTCAGAAGTCTTTCAATTCTCTTACTCCCTCAGGTTCTTTTCATGCCAGACTTCTAAGCAGGCTTGAAAATCCTTAAACTCATGAAATCTTTAATTGTGCAAAGGAAAATAATCGGCCAGAGGCATTTTCGTTTCGTTCAAGCTTCATAAAGTTAGTTCAATGTTACGAAAATTTGAAGAATCGAAGTTTGAAAAGTCGTAAAAATCCTTGCGTTCCGACAATCAATTGCCGAATGTCTGACTGTAAAAAGGCTAAACCTATTTTAGGCCTAAAGTCTGTAAATTTCCAAAATTCCAAAGTTCACGCATGCGTTCATGAAGACCGCGAAGTACATGTAACTCTTTATAGTCCCCATTTCAAGCGAAAATTCGTAATTCGGCTTACATTCTTGGACTTCGGTAAAGATCTTAAGTTCCTTAGTTGAGCAAAGCGTGCTCAGGGCCACGCGCCGGACGGGACCTCCCACCCGGTCCCACACCAAAAATACTATTTGCTAAAGAACCCCCCAAAAATGGAACAATATTCCCTATACTACTTAGTTTACTACTTATAAGGAAGACGTTTTTTTTTGGGGGAGTTCTTAAGCAATTCGTAGATACCCAAATCCGCATCAGCCACCCTTTGCCCGTTGCTTTTGCTTGGGGATCCCGGGAAGGGCGTCGATGATGCGCATCTCTCGGGCATCACTGGGACCAAACGATGCCGCATCCCAAGATGCCCAAGACGCATGGAAAACAAGTTGTTTTTCTTTTCGGTTGGAATCGTTGTTCCGCTGCCCAGATGCTCCTAGCCGCGGCTGACAGAAGTCTGGCGCCCAACAACACTCAGGTGAAACAAACGAAACTACACACCAAGCAAGCCTTGCACATCCTTAGGCCCACCTGCGTTGCACACACGCACACGCAGTGTAGAGCAGGATGCCAGCAAACTGGCACTTGCTTGCCCTGCTACAGGGAGAGGAAGTGGAGGCGAAGACGTAGTAGAAGAAACACATGATGTAGAAGAGAGATTGATCTGCCGCTTTTGTCGCAGCTTTGCGGTTGTGTGATGTACACTACACGTCCAGCAGCTTCCCACACACTCATCCTCACACGCCGAGTTGCTTGTGTAAGCCTCATAGACCTGGTCGAAGCAATGCCAGCCGTTCCTGGAAAGTGCGCACTTTCTGCTGCTGTGCGTGTATAGAAGGATCTGCCAGGCAAGCTGCCTCTGCTCTTCTTATCTTTTGCCCGCTGCTGCGTAATTATTAGGGCGGAAGCCCCGCTAGCGTTAAGCAGGGCGTGAGACTCCGACACGAGATGTCATTTCACCACTGTGACAAGAGATTTGTGCGTGCCACGTTGGGCGACGCCAGTGTGAAACGAAAGACCTGAACCAGCGTCGTTGAGCTATAATTGGAGGACCATGGTGGATAGGAGGCGGCAATTGTGCAAGGCGCTGCCCCTTCATCGCAGTTCTGCTCTTAAGACATTGAGAAGCGGTTCGGGCTCTGGCTTTTCTCAATCCGCTCCGGAGTGTGCAGCTGGCTCCATGAGGGCCACACAGACGACGCCGGAGAGCTGCTGGCAAGAGAATTTAGAGAAGCACCCGCGTCCTTGCGTTTACTTTGGCTAGGCCCTCTTTCAAGCCTCTTTTGACCCGCTTGCTTCTCACCACAACAAGAGAAAAATCCCTTAAGTCTTGCTCACCAGAACCGAGGTTCCGGAACTTGGGCCGGCAGCTGTGGCCGGTGCTCCCCCGACGGACTTCCTGGAGTGGAGTGGTGCGACAAGTGGCGCTGCTCCTCGGCGGCTCTTTTTTGGGGGGAAATCGCAAATCGAGGGAGGAGGGATTGCTTCAAGTTTGGTTGGCTTTGGCGCGTCAGTCACGACATAGGAGGACGAAGAGTTTTCCAAGTTAGGTCGCCCCTGCAAGTGTGAAGAGGTGAAGAAAAAAGGCTAGCCTTGTAAAGGGTTGTAGACTCTTGAGCCCTTCTTCTTCCAAGCAGCTATTATGCCCTTGGGCTGCACCAAGTCCCTGCCCAGGAAGCCTTGCACAGGTGCGCTTTTGCCTTGATTGGTCTTCAGGCGCCTGTGGAAAGCTAGATTTTCGTGATTCTAAACCTCGGTTGCTGGACTTGCTGGGCAAAAAGTTTAGAGAACGGCCAAGGTGCTGCCGATGTCCAGATGCTTGGAAGGACTTCTGGCTTCATGGATCTGGATGTCGAAGTGGGCGCTGGTCTTGGAGCCCGCTCGCGAGCCCACGGGGGTATTTCCAAAAGGTGAATGAACCTCGGCTGCATGCCATGTGAGATCCCTGGTGACAGCTGATGTGATGATGTGCAGCTTCTTAGTTTCGAGGTCTCTCTTCAATAAAAACCACGATACTTCTCACCAGCCAAGCCACGTCAGTGGGCAGGTGTAGGTGGTGTGGGTCGTAAGGCGTCGACTGCGTGGGCATATGCAGCTGTGTGGGCACAGCAAGCTCTCGCATGGCCTGGCGAGCTGAGTAGGTGGATACAATGAGAAGATTCTTTAATTCTTTACCACACTGAACCCTTTAACTTGCTACGATATGAACAGCCCATGCGTCCCTGTGCAAGCTCATTAGGGATAACTTTGTGTACCAGAGGCTGCCGCTCGCCTCCTCCCGCCGGGCCCCTTTCTCCATCCTCTCTTTCTCTCTCCCTCCGTCCCTGTTCCTTTTTTCTATCTGACCCTCCCTGTCACCATCCCTTCGGACACAATGGCTTGTCAAAGCTACAGTGGCATCCTGCAGGTCGCCGAAAAGCCCTGAGCCTTACAAGTAACCCACCCGACTCAACATGCCCTAAAAACAAACGACGCCGAATGCGGAACCCTATGCCCTTCTAAGCATCTAGGCCCTAGGCTCTGAGGCCACTCAACCCGAGATCGTACGGATTCACAGGACTGCCTGGGAGACGTGGTGCTTGCGCGGCTTCTGGGATACCAGGGGCTGCCTCACAAACAGCGTGTCAGCCAGGTCCGACATTGATTTGAAGGGTTTGGGAACATGGGCTTCAGAGTAGTTTAGAGGTTCATGTAGGGTTTAAGGCTTCACGTGGATTGCAGGGGAGGGCTGCAGGCTTGTGCATGATGCTCGGCCCTTGCTCTTTTCGAAGACGTTTCTGCAAGCTTCCCTGACCATCAAGCATGAAACCCAAAACCACGCAATCATCCCAAAAATTCGACCGACATGGTTCCTCATATCCATGATCCAGTTTGACTGCAAGGGTTTCCTTGGAAGGTTGAAATCTAGCTTCCCACATGAATCTGCCATGCCAGGGAGGCACGCCTCCAACCCACCGCAGACTTTCACACACTAGTCACTAGTCAAAAGGCCGATGAAACCCTCGTGCATTAAAGCATCTAGTAAAGTTGCTGGCGCCCAGACAATAAGCCCTGGAAGCCATGCGAAGGCAAGCCAAGCTGCAGTAGAACCGACCGTGCAGAATCGGCACTCTCTGTCTGCAGCAGCAGCGAGGCAGGATGGTCCTGGTTTGCGGCTGCAAAGCAATCAAGGGTCAGCTCTGGGCACCCTGTCACAACGTGAGACTTTGCAGGTTAAGCTGTAGCCTAAGCCATAATGCAGCATGGGCTGTTTCTCTCCTCGCCCAGCAAGTTCACGATTCGCTTCCTCCATAGGGCCTTCCAAAGGCAAAGGGAATGAGTGTAACTATACCTTGCAGATATGTCTTACACTGATTAATGCAGGTGCCTGTCGCGCAAGCTCTCCTTGAGCCTGCGTGGTGCTGAGCACTGGCCGGAAGGCAAGGTAGTGCCAGAACCTTTCTGAGCTCAAGCTTAAGCCCCCAAACGTGGGGTGTTTCCGAGGTTCTCCTCTGCGAGGGCTTGTAGCAAAGCCAATCAGAAAAACACATAGGCTCGAACCGAACCAGAAAACTGCGGGGCTTAGTCAGAAAACACAGAAAAATGAAGGCTAAAATGGCGCGCGCCGTGCCACCCAGCGATCGAATGCAGGAGAAAATGAGAAAACCAAGAGGTCATTTGGTCGTTTGGTCACTAGCTTGCGGAGGCTCCAACTCAAGTGCTGGAAAAGGCCTCGGCAACCGGACGCAGTGGAAAAGCAGAAGGCTCCAACTCAGCCACAGGAAAATGCCTCAACCGCTTTCTGGTCATCTGGTCAGTAGGTCGCGAAGGCTCCGGCTCAGCCACGGCAAAAAGCTCCAAACCAGCCCACGTCCGCGGTCAACAGCGCCGTTATATGCGCACCCCGCACCCCACAGTCGACCCCAGGCCTCCCCGGTTATGGGCCCTCACCGATTTCTAAGCCTCAGAAAGTCGCATCAATCCCCCCTTTATTTTGCTACGTTGCTTGGCAGTGTCAGTCAGGGCCGACGCCTCGGTGTCGCGCCCCAGCCGGCCCTAGTACGCGCTTGTGGGTACAGATGCCTCGGGTAGCTCCCTCCATCCTGTCAACCGCAGACCGCGGACTTCTGGAAACGCTTGCCGATTTAGCCGCCCGCGTTTTCTGATTCATCCCCGCCTTTTTCCCGATGGCGAGGCTTGATTCAGCCGGTGTTCAGGCTATGTTTTGTTTGATTGACATTGACGCTTCCCCCGTTGCAGGAAGAACAAGGAACTCGAAGGAGCAAAGCGACGCTTTCGATGAGCAACAAAAAGCGAAACCATGGTCCCCGATACACATAGACGTGCAGCAGTCGCACGCTGAAAAAAGCACGTCAAATGCCAGTGGCTTCGACGATCGACGTGAAGTCCAGCATGCGACGAATAAAACAACTGTCATCAAATGTCCATAACATGTCGCAACTAAGACGGAGAGCACAGCAAATCCCTGGCCGGGCTTCGGCAACCGGAACACAAGAGTGGAAGGACAGCGGTCACCTGGCTAACAAGGCTTTGTCCACCCTAGCGGCTGGTTGGTGTCGCGCTGGATCATGCCCATGGTGCTATCCATCTCGGCCTCTGGGTACACTTTCAACTCCTGCCAGGGTTCGGAGCTCGGATCGCAGCCAGACTTAGTTAAAATGCCGAGAGGTAGCGGGCAAAACAGATCAGCGTGAGTCGGAAAGTGGTAGCCGCGTAGCCCCACGCCCAAACCTCAACAGACCCCCAAGTTGCCACATCCTCTTGAGGCAGATATCCAATCAAGACCACCAACACCTTGACACGTGCTGGCGGCAACAACACCTTTCATGATGGACCAGTCAATCCTCGACCCCGAGGTCCCCAAGCCCCCTCCACTCCTCAGCGCTGGCATCTTGTGGGATGGCCTCTCAAGCTCTTTCGACAGCGAATTGAGGAGCCGAGCTGCCACAAAACGCTGCGTGGGCTTCAGGTCTGCCATCGTTTGTATGCGTAACACGATGTACATGGAGCAAGGCCTTCACTGGGCCCTGAGTGTCTGTAGTGGTGTAACCATGACCCAGAAGGAATTTGGAAATCATAAAAGCTCACTTGGAATCAGTACGCAAGGCAGGCTGGTGATCCCAGATAGAGCGGAAGCTGCTCAAATCCATCGCGAGATTGGTGCCTGTGTTGGAGGTTGCTTCCAACCCGGAGCAAGTTGCAGTTCCCTGCCTGGCCTGCCTCGAACTTCATGCAAAACTCGAAGGCTGTAACCGTAATATACACTAATAATTGCACTCAACGCTGCATACAGCCGCGGCCTCATAGGCGCTTCGTCGACCGGGCGTGTGACGCCGCAAAGCCTGCAAGGTTTAAGACCGAAGCCTAGAGGTTTTTGTGGGGTGTAGATTTGAAGCCTTGACTTTGTAAAACTTTGTTGCGGCCACAACTCTCCAGAATGTGCTGGACAGCCCACACCAGTTCGGGGGCACAAGCATGACTTAAACGCCTTAAGAGTGGCCAGCTTTCAAGCAGCAGCCTCTTCTCCCTGTGGCACAGCTTTTTGTGCTAGCTGCAAGCTGTAATCACCCACTTCGTCCCCTGCATCACTGACAACAAGTTGTTTGGCCGAACCGAGTATGTCGCTGAAAGTCCGTGGGAGGGAAGAGTCGGCCGCAGATGCGAGGCGGAGTAAGAGGGGCCATGCCCAGTTTGATGTGTAGGATTGTGCAGCACACTGAAAGCCAGCCCACGCCGAGTTTGAGGTATTGTGAAGAAGGCTGAAGCCGGATTGTGGTGCCTCGTGCACGTGTTAAAG